TATGTATGCATGTATGTATGTATGTATGTAAGTAAGTATGTAAGTAAGTATGTAAGTATGTATGTCTGTCTGTCTGTCTGGCTGTCTGTCTGTCTGTCTGTCTGTGTGTGTGTGTGTGTGTCTGTCTCTCTCTCTCTCTCTGTTTGTGTACTGTGCTCGTACATGGGCACCAGGCGACACGTGCTTTTTGCACCAAGTTTCACAGCAACGTTTGTCTGCATGCATCCACCTGGCCAGCGAAAGCTGCCAACACCATGGGATGAGACTTGGGACGCCGAAACTCGTACCTGCAAAACTAGGTGGGCAGGACCCATCCACCAAGAAAGTCGGGGCCTTTTCCTTGCAGCAGAAGCAGTTTTCCGTTTTTCCCTTGCCGCGTTCTTACACTAACTGACAACTGCAGTGATTTATGTAGCCTTCAGTCACTGCCCGAACTTGCTTGTGTGTGTGTGTTGATGATACCGACGAACTTCTGCACATTCGCGCTCAGTAGGGGCAACCATGATGCAAAGCTGGGGCTTGCTTGACTTGAGTTGGTAGCCGAGCTGGAGCCCTCAACCTTGGGTTCACAGCGTGTATGTTGAACTGCTGCAGCAGCCTCAAGACCGCAGACTGGACGGTCTCAAGAGCACCATGGTTTACACTGACCTTCGCTTTTCCCCGCAAGCGCTGCAGTCTCGATTTCCATTGTAACAGGAGCTTCGCAGAGTTCTGTCATCGGCTCTGATCCTGATGTGCCTCGGCGACCTTTCTGAAGCGTGAGCCACGAGTCGTGTAAGACGGCCCAAGGCACGATTGGGACCGCGTGCTTCTACAACCTTCGACCCTGAAGCAGTGGACAGATCCGGCTATCATCCGCCGATTTCGTGATGTGGCCGAAGTAGCACCAAGGATGTGGGTAGTTAGTAGAGTTCTAGCATCTTGAGCGAGTCGGGACAGAAAGCAGCTTCAGGTCTGCACGAGCAGGCGGCCACCCAGAATGCAGACTCATGGAAACAGTTGAAGAAGTTTGTGGCCGAAACGACGCGACGTGCTCTACCACAGGCACCTGGTCACGCAAGAGATGGCAACGTTACAGCAACGCAAGTGCAAGCAAAAGTCGGGCTCGTCCTTTGAATGGTGTGACACTGTCAGGAGGAAAGATACTCATTCAAGTCAGCTATGCCTGCCTTCCTGGAGCTCTTCCGAACATACGGGTCTTTCCAGAATCTGGACTGCCACTGCGCGGCAGTATGCGTTGTCAGCGAAATTCCGAGAACAGGTTTCAAGAGTCCTTAGTGCGTTAGCTGTCTCCTCAGGCCAAGACATGAAAACCGTCCTACGCGGTTTGGACGAAACAGGGCATGGCAGAGTCTCGCTTGAGGCAAGGCCGCAGTTGAACCCAGCCCCTGACAGTCTTTGCCAGCCTCTGCTCCGTTAGCTGTTGTCTCTAACTGATCTGAAGACCTGACTAACTCCTCCTCGCACGCCAAATGCTCTGTGTTATTTGGCTGTGATGTGTGCTTCATCCGCCGGTGGTCTTCTCCTCGAATGAGTGCATGGTTCCAGCAGCATTTCGGAGGCATTCTACAGCGTGCCGGAGGCCTTGCTTGCATTGGCAAAGGCATTAATTTATGTCCAGCTCTGCCAGGTGCCTAACAGCAGGTTCTACTTTCGAGAGTCGTCCCAGAGCCTTGGACACGTGCACAGAAGCAATAACCGCACCTGCTTTCTGCCCCAACTGCTACTGAGGAAGTTAGATGGGCTGGGACTTGTGGATTGGAGTCTGTGGATGCCCCGTGTTCTGGTCGGGCACCTCTTCCGGCGAGTTGGGCTAATTGCTTCCAGTTTGGGACGTGAGGCGACGAACTATGTGGACGGCGCACACAACTGCGTAGCTCCGAACCCACATTTCTCAATCTGCTGCATCGACGAGTGTGGAAGTTGCGAGGCTGATCATGAGCCCGATTCGCATACATCGTGCACGGAATGCTCAGCTGCTGTGCTGCATAGCCCAGGCTTACTGAGGCAAATGGAGGCTGGTGCGGAGGCTCGCGGCTTACAGCTGCCAGCTCATGCCGTGCTGTTCTGGTGCTTTCGTTTGTTTTCTGTTTGCTGGGAGGCACCCACTTCATCACCGGAAAAGCTTCTGGACATCGCGAAGCAACTCACGCTCTAGCCTAGGAATCCCTGCTTGATGCCGTGCACAGCACCGCGAGAGTCGCTCCGGATCTCAGGTTAACAGGCAACTTGACGAAGGAACTGGAAGATCGCCTGGTTCCAAGATGCCGGGAGGTGTGCCTAAGACATCGGCATGCGGTCCAAGTCTAAGGTCTCTACGGAATCGCCCATGCCAATGGAAAGGATCTCAGCAGCGCCAGCAAACTTCAGCATGCCTTCTTCAAGCCCCAGCACCGTAGCACCTCCCAGTCCCAGCACTAAGGCGGCCAAGTGAGCCTCCACGGCCGGCTCTTCGCGCAGTGGCTACACTTCTGGCAGCCCTACAAATGTGCCTATCCGCAAGTTCCCGGCTTTCAATTTGATCCGGCATCATTCTCAGCACTCGCTAGCACTGCCCAGTCGCGAGAGGAGTCGTCGTTTTCACTCGTGGTTTGGCTAAGGCCGCGTGGAAGGACAGGTGCCTCGGCCGAGAACGGGCGTTGTTTGGCTCCGCGAGTTCTTCCCATGCCTGCAAATCCTGCAACCCTCAGCCCGTCAGGAAATACACATGGAACGTTCAGGAGAAGGAGTCGCGGGATGCCGAGCTTCCAAAGAGTGTCCCAGCGGCCGCTCTTCTCGTTGCTTACCGAAGTCTCGTCAGAGGTTTGTTTCATCATTGAATACATTGCCAAAGCAAAGCTTGCACAAGAGCAATCTCCTTGCGTGGGGGCCGCCAGATTTCGCGTCGTTGCCGAAGCTGATCTGCTGAGTACCAAGCACGGCGATGGTGCTCAGGTGGTGGAGTGACGAAGAATCGTTGCCGCTGTCGGAAACTGCATCCGATTCAAGTCCCCATTCGGTGTGCGTAAGATCTTGTCAGTGTGCGCTAGCAGTGACAGCTCTTCTGCTGATGTCCTTTCTGCATCAGTTGTTTGATCCTGCATGTGCACTTGCCGCGTGCTGAGGACAGCTGGTCTACCACGGATAGAGCTATCGCATACTTCTTCAGCTTTCAGTTTGTGGCAGCTTGCTCTCAATTCTGTGCTGAAGCTTCGTTGCATTCTCGTGTCTCCAAGGCCCAGCTGCTTATTGTGATCAGTGGCATGCGGGACTTGATTCTAGTGGTGCAGGAATCAGGCCCGGAGCATCTTTCGCTTTCCCGCGCACCTACCCTACTTTGCACTTCACTGTAGAAAAATGCATTTGCGGGAACATGCGTAGCTCTGACCATGCTCCGACTAAACATTCCATGAGGACTGTGTTTTTGCATTCGTGGCACACAGACGCAACCGTAGAGCAGCACGAGTCCTGAAACAACCGTCCAGCGGCCAGTAAGAATGTGAGACTCAGAGCCCAGAGGATCCCAGAGGCAAGGCCAGAATGTACAAACATGCTCAACTCATCTCAACTCTCAGATGCCTCGTCAAGTGCCACTGCCGGGCTCCAAGCCCTTAAGCAACGATCTTTGAGCATGGCCAATGCTGGCCATAAAAGAGATATGCGCACAGTTGGAGGTGTTAGTGAGTGGTTTCTCGACGTGTGGTATTGTGTTTTTTTTTGCGCTAGCCGCTAGCTCGCAACGGCAAGTCGTAATCGCTGCAGCCTTTCGACCCGAGTGTGCCGCTCCGGTACCGACGGTACACCAGCATCTTTCACCCGGCCCCGTCCCCATTCTCCACCAACTATTGTGGACTTCCGCCGATTTACTTCTGTCCTGGGGGGCCGTATATCCAGCAAAGTCATTCCCGTTAGCCGGCCCCGCCTCGGCCCGATACCGATCCGTAGCTGAGGATTTCATCTGACCGGTAATGTAGCCATCCGGAAAAAGGGAGACGTCCGCTTTTGCCGTGCTGGCTTAAGTACCCGCTGTACCGATCGTAAGGGACCAGTGCTAGTGGAAGAACGTTCCGCATACCACCGCATACCACTACAGGGGCGAACAAGAAGTTCAAGAAGCAAATCATCAGATAACGAGCCAATGTCAATGAAGCCTATAAGTTCTGCAAGCGGTTCGACCACACATTCCTCCTGTGGAGAAACATGGGGCAGTCGCGCAGTGCGTGTAGTAGGCTCCATTTCCGGTTCTAAGCAAAGCGAACGGCATCGAACTCTGGCCAGGTGGCCGGCGACGTGCGTCGAAGAAGCTGGCGGAAGCCGACCCGAAGCAAGACCAGCGAGATGGAGAACGAGACAGAGAGCCGAAGGAAGACAAGACGCCAGCAGAACCTTTGGACAAAGGCAAGCAGGTGCTACGAGCTAAGACGGGCGAATGCCATGACATCAACACAGGCGTGTGAGATTAAAGCCCTTCGATCTTAAGACCTCACAGGCTCGTTCATCTTTCCCGACTCTCATCTCCCGCAGGGCAAGAGGTCAGCACAAAAAGATCCAGGCAAAAAGGCCCGTGCTTCACACCCAAAATACCCAAGCCGCAGTGCTGATGCCATCGCGTATGTATGCAGGTGGGGAGGCTTCGAAACAGCCAGCCAGAAAGGCGACCTCCTCGGAAGTTACCAAAGGCCAGTATCTCCGGAGCCTGACTTTGCCAGTCACCTGAGGAAGGCTACAAGGCAAGCAAAAGAAGCAAAGTCACGCCCAAGGCGATGCCCAAGGCGCCTTGCAAGACACAGCAATACAGCTGGCCTCCGATCTCTGTCGCCAGGAGCCTGCCAAGCACAAAGGGATGCGCCCAGCCCTGAATTTGGTGCCCCCAGCAGCGATGTCCTCGCCTCGAAAGTTGGGCGAAGTGGAGAACCAGCACTTCGCCATCGCGAAGATATTTGCGGATGTGGAGGAAACGGACGTGAACCGTCCTGACCAACAGAGAGAGAAAGAAGCAGAGCAAGTGCCCGCTGGCCTAGTGACCCAGCAAGCTGTCTACGAATGGCTTCACGATCCGCAAGAACCACAAGCTGATCCCCACAGCCACACCAGTGCCGACGGCGCCGGAGATGAAAGTGAGACCCCCGCCAAGGCGATCAATGAGACCACGGCCCGGTCGTACCCGTCGCACCCGGAACCAGCCTCGTCACCACGGCACGAGAAGGTGGGACACTCCAAAACCTCAAGACTTCGATAACCGTCGCGACAGTGCCTCTGTGAAGGTTGCCGTGGCTGAATGGTTATCACATCCACTTGAAGAGTTCAAGAAAGCAGAGCCGGACGCAGGAGACATTGTGCCCTCGTCTCCAATGTAATCTCCAAGACCCTTCTACTAACTTGCAATGCAGGAAGGCCAGCCAAGCCGCTTGCAGACGAGGCCGGCGTATGGGGCCAGCCATAGCTCTGCACACGCTCCGAAACTTCCCGCGCATTGCAGTCCTTGCCGCCACGTCTGCCGCGTAAACTTGGGCTCAAGCTGTAGGATAGGGCCGCGTGCCGAACCGCGCACTCGCGCGTGCGCGTGCGGGAAGCGAGCCAGCTTCGGAGGCAAAGGGCAAGCTAATTTTGCGTCGAAGCCTAGGATTGTGCCGGGGGTAATTGTTTGCAACCCCTGCAGGACCCACGGTACAGCCAGAGCTTGTTTGGCTGTTTTCTGACCGACGGCTGGTAAGGCCTCGTGGGCCTCATGGGCCTCATGGCGAGGGGCCTGAGCAAATGCGGCGCCTTCGGCAGCGTACTGCTACTAGTGGCAGGCTGTTTGCCGTGGTGCGCCCAAGCGGGGCCATCGCCCTTACCAGGGCATTCGATATCAAACCCGCCAGACATTAACCATCTGGCAAAGATGTGGCATTTGACGGGAACGACCATGCCCAGTCACAGAAGTCTTATCTTGACTCCAGGTGTTGCTGATCGGGCAGGAACTATTTTCAGCAGATTGCCCTTGAAGACCAGTGATTTCTCGGCAGAGTTTACTTTCTCAGCCAAGCCAGGGGTAGCAGGCTTCGAGGAGGACGGCTTTGCCTTCTGGTATACCTCGGAGAATGCGTCAGACATCGCAAACGATGCAAGCACCAAACATGCTCACAATCAAGATGAGCTGATTGCGGGCACATGGTATGCACCATATGTCAAGCAGCTTGGGCTGGGCACTTATGGTTATAAGACTCAGTTCAAAGGACTCGGAGCTGCTCGTCTACATCACATGTGACCATGTGGCAAGAAAAAGCTGACATGCGCGTGTGAGAGTCTGAAAGGCGTCCCACGTCCCAAGGTTTTTTTTGGCAAAGACAAAGACGCAGGAGGCAAGACCTCTGTGAGCGCCAGCTACGGCGACGGCTCGTCCTTCGTGAAGGCTGCTTCGTCCTTAGTTGTAGTGGCAGTTCAATGCCGCGGTTGGTCTACAGCCCTCAGCTTGAACACCATGTTTTCGCCAATTTCTGCGAGTCGAGAGGCAGGTTCCGCAGAGTCCAGGTAGCCTGAGTCGAAGCAGTGGCAGAAGATCACCACACATGACTACAAGCCTCCCTGCAAAGCCAGGTTCGACAGAAAACTTAACTGAGTTTTTGCGCCAACTCAGGACACAGCATTGCAGCTTGACTTCCAGAGCGGCGAGGATTATGTGATTCAGGTCAGAGTGAAGCCTCACGAGATGGTGGTCTCAGTAGAGACCAAGGGCGAGAGGAAGGGCGCCATCACCGTGAGTGCGTCACCTCCTCTGCATGGCAGTGTTCTATCTGTGGAGATCTTTTTTGGTGGTATTGAAACCGATGCACCAGTGGCAGCTGCGACACTGTTCAACCTAAGGAATGCAAAAGCAGGCGGCTTCATCGGCTTCTCCTGTTATGGCGGCTCCAAAGACACGTACTACCCTGCCCGGGAAAGAAGTGCCTTTGTGGAGCTCAAAGGCCTGAAAGCCACCAGTCTTGAATTGAATCGGGGTCGTGTGTGTGGATCATACAACAACAGAACTCGAATAGGTATTGCAACAAGTTATCGTGGTTTGGTTAAATTTTGCACTTAGGCCGAATCAACGGTTTGCGAGCCAGGTGTTTGCCACATGCCAGCTTGCACAGTACGGTATCCTTCTGTCAGTAAGGGATGTCAAGTCAAGATGTGGCCTAAGCTGCTCTGCTCAGCTCAGCGTGGTTGCGGCCTCGCTCGCTGAGTTCGCGGCTTTCGAGTGGTCATGTAGTGGTCTGTAGTGGTCAGGTGTCGTGTTCAAGATGAAGCTGGGTGTTCGTTGTGCAGTTTTTACTTGTCTGGCGCCATTATGGGTTGCTCAGGTGCTCAACTACGAAGATGGGCAGGGTGAGGATTCAATGGCTACCATTCCCGACGTGAAAGCCCCAAGTGGGGACAAAGAAGACGTTCTTGGTGCGCACTCCAGCTTTAGGGATCATCGTGCTGAGTCTGAGGCCAGATTGAACTTGCCGAAGCTTTATGCTGATGTGTGTTTTGCCGCGACTGGAACGTTTGCTGTCTCGATGCCCTTGCAGGCTATCAAGGAGCTTACAAACATGGCTGCTTGGCTGGCATTACCGGCACTTTGCAATCTGTGTCGCAGCCTGAAGTTGCAAGGTTTTTAAGCTCGTCATCGAATCGAAGCCTCAGCGGGAGCAGATGAAGGCAGCGATTCAGGCCCTCAGCAAGCGAGTAGCTGCCGTGGAGTCGAGTCTTGGGCTGCAAGAGTGGCAACATGATTCCAGGCAGAGCTGCCGCTGAGACTTTGATTTCTCTTGCTCAGACTCAGGAGCTTCCAAAGCGTGAAGGCAGAAATCGACAAGAAAACCGGACACAACCTAGGTGAGGAGTTCGATGCGATAAAGAAGGAGCTTGCCGACATACATGCTGCTGCGCACCGGGATACAGATGCTCGCGGAAAGAAGCTTGCGGATTTGCATTCCGATATCGAGAATGTTCACAAGTCTGCAGCCGGTGGTGACATTAGCGGCCACTTGGATTCCCTGAGCCGGTCAAACGAGAAAATGCTCGACCAGCTCGCCAGTCAACACAAAAGAATGTTTGGCGTCTCGATTTTTGCGATTGCCTTCATCATAGTGGCAGGTCTTTCTTTGTACAACAAGCCTCTTGTCGAGATTTTTAGCTCGAAATGCTTTGCTTACACTTGTCAGCCTCGCTCAGCCCGTGCTTTTCAAGGTTCCGATGTTGGGAAAAGAAACATGTTCTCTGAGATTGGTGGCTGGAGCCTGACGCGTGAACTACGCCGGGCCCTTTGCGAGCACATAGCTGCGGACAGCAGAAACCCCAGAAAGTGCAGTCGAAAGTGGCTGCGCGGGGGCTGGGGTTGCCATGCTGCGTGCATGCGCCCTTGCCTTGCCTTCCTGGGCTCGATTGCTGAGTTCATGCCGACATAGCACGGGTTCCTTTAAGCAAGCCAAACTAGAGAGTTAATTTGTTGGACTTGAGCTTCGACCTTGCATTGGTTTTCTGTTCGTGGTTCGTGCAGCGCAGCGACGAACCAGCAAATATCGATTGCGAGGAAACTCCTTTCTAGGATGCAACGGAATCGAGCGGCGTCACGTGTGAAGTGTCTGGCGAGAGTCAGGGCGGATGAAAAGGATGCCACTGCAGACTGCAGCTGCCAGGGAAGCTGTTTCTCTTGAGCAGTGGATTTCACAGCTGCGGTCAGGTTCACAGCAGCGCTGCTGAGTGGTTGGCCGCGCGCCTGAAGAGTGAGGGGGAGACGGCGCCCGATCAAAGCATCAGTTGGGTTTAGGGAAACACTGTGAGATTGGGGTTGCCGGTCCCGCTCCCTTGATGGCTGACCGTGGCCAGGACGGAGTGCTCCTAAACCCTTGTGACTAGTGCGCATCCAGCAAGGTCCTAGGTGCCGGCCAGCGGTGCAGCAACTTAAAAGGCTGACAGGATTTAGCAGACGTGCAGAAATTACCCTTTACTGAATTTGGCGCTGATTGCCATCCGTTCTCGGGGCAGCCTTCTTGCGATACCGCTCCCGGTGCTCAAGTTTAAGATCTGTGATGAGGCACAGGCAGCAGAGAAGAAGGTTCTCGAGGCTGGGCGAAACAGTAGACTCCCTGCTATGAAAGTGTGAGAGCCGAAGGATTTGGATGGACTCGATGGCACGCCAAAGGTATCGGAGCCAGAGAGGCGCAGCGAACAAGAAGAGAGCGTGCAATCAGAGAGTAAGACTAAGATTGTGATGCAATTGGGATCATCCAGTCCAGGTGCCGGGAAGACGAGGCACACTTTTTCGAACACGCTGTCCACAGATTTTCCTTGACGGGCGCATTCTGAGTTGCAGGACCTCGTGCTAGAAGACATGGGTTTGTGGCATCTCTGTCGCAAGCTGCAAGCCGTCCGCCCGGCTTGTCGTCCTGACTATTAAGGTACGGAGCCACAGCTGAGCGTTCGCCAGGCAGACTGGCTCGAGTGGCAGTGCCATGGGGCATGAGGCTGTGTGTCTCAGAGTCTCAGAGCCTCTTCCTGGCAGGCTTTCGCCCACCTCCTGGCTTGGAAATGCTCGGATCTCTTGGGCCGAATGTGCCTCTACAAATGAGTTTATAGGGCGTTTGGGAATGTACGTTGTAAATGAACGGTGCGGGGGCCTTGCCTCCGACCACTGCAAGTCATCGGGCTTCGCTTTGTTGCAAAGCTGGGTGTGGTTCCAGAGCCACCTGCAGCTTTTGCAGATACCCGCCAGTGACACTGGTTTTCGGCAGCCCGTCATGGCCAGTGAACAGAAGCTTTGCTGGCTTCTCACCGATCTCTTAGTCTCGGCCCTCAAAGCTTCCAGGCCTGCTCGCAGCATCAAGCTCAGGCAAATGCTTTCATCGCCGAGAAAAGTGCGAGTCACTAGTGCGAGTTCTGTGCAAACGTCTAGGGTAGAGTGTGTCTAGAAACAGTTTCAGATTGCATGCAGTAGGAGTCTCGTACAACAGCAGGGTTGTGATGATGAACGGATGGGGAACCATGCTGCTGTGTGAGAGATGTGATGCCGGGCCCAGGATGCAGAACCTGGGCGCAGGGCATGGCAGCATTCCACAGGCTGGCTGTTGAGTGCTCCAATGATCGCATATTACCGCCGATGGCCAATCGAAAGAATCTCAGCTAGTTGAGTCACATGCTGTTCCGAGAACATGTCCGAAACGCCAGGAGGTTTTGCGTGTCGATTGGTTCCGACAGTCTTGCCCTGACCCCACCCCGAGGTCCATGGTACTAAGTTTGGGTATGACTTGTCGATAGGCCTGAGGAGAGTGGTGGTTTCAACTTTCAACGGCGCACTGATTGTCCCGACAATGAACCACATCCCGTGCTTTATTGCAACCTCGGGTTTCGCACCGAAATCTAATTTACGTGTAGTTTTGTTTACTGTAGGCGAAAATAAAGGGGAACAATCGACCAAACCGGATAATCATAGGAACAAAACTGGGGTTGTGTCGAAAACGAGCAGTTTGCAGTGCTTTGCCGAATCTTTTGCATCGAAGTCCGGGTGTTAAAGGCAGGGGCAACACGTGGAAACATAGGAAAAATGGGAACGAATAGGGTTGTGTCGAAAATGAACCATGTTCGGTGCTTCGTTCGATTTTTTGGTTTGGGTTTCGCATCGAACCCTAAATCCTACAGAAAGTTTTTACTGTTTCTGATAAAACAGGTATTCATATGTAACTCCAGTTTACGTGAGAATAACTCTTCAATTAATTTGTGACTTTCGCCCTGGACTGCGCATCGAAAATAAAGTACGAGGTGATGCTAACACGCACGCACCGTCATGAACTTCTGCATTCTCGTGCTGCAGGAGCCCATGACAATGCCTTTGGGAGCCAGTGTGGGGAACCCAGACCTTGACAGATTTACACAGGCTTGAGTCCTTGATGTGGAAGGCCGCGGGCATGGCGTCACCCCGTGGATCGCAGGGCATGGACGGAGTTCTGGAGCAGTGCCTCGAAACGAAGGAGCAGGTCTGCGACCATAGTCACTGTCTGATGACAAATACACACAACTCGACGTGCAAGCGTGCTATGATGAACTCATGCAGGTGTCCAACCTCACCGCGATTCTGAAGCTTTTGGAAGGAGATGTAGGAAACCAAGGGGGGCAGGCCTGACGGCCGCAGAGAGGGTTGAGCATTGCAAGGTCGATGTGATTCGGCGCGAGAATTTGCAGCTGCGGGCCGCCATGCGCAATCGCTTGCATGGCAGCGGAGTGCTCAGAGACTTCAGAGGTCCCTTTGCGTTTGAGAGGCTACGGACAGCTTGCAGCAGCCGAGGTGGGAGCTTGCGAGGCGATGCAGGCGATGAGAGTAGACGACCTACCCGACCTACCCGACGCAGTCTTCTCGTGAGCTCTCCTGGAGGTTCTGAAGAGACGGGCCTCGGCCCGATCGACAGTCTCCGCAGCGAGGATGGATTGACTTGTGTGGCTAGCAAGGAGTGTCGTCATCTTGTGTCGATGAGGACGCGCAGCCGGTGCAGCCGCAAGGACTGAGAGGGCCTGAGAGGGCTCCTGGAGAAGAGGCCGAGACTGATGCCATGGCTGCCATGGGCCAAGCACCCGGCTACTTGCCGGGATGGGCTGCCCAGTGCCCTCCGCCAGTCCGGGAGCAGCGAGAGCGAGCCCCAAAAGCTGACAAGCAGGACGTCCAGGATTCCCATGCGCACAGAAACGGCGATGCCCACCAAGGTCCGTCAAGTATGGACATGGACGAAACCTCAAGCACATATAGCAAGAAGGGATCGCCATCCAGCAGCGTGCAGGCAAGTGCGAAGTCAGATGGCAGGCACAGGCAGTCGCAGATGACCCACATTCCCACAGAAGAAGATGCACTGCACATTCCCGGAGTCCCTGAGCATGACACTTGCCCGTCGGTGTGGCCGGCCTTCCTCGCAGCCAGTCGCGAGAAGAGAGAAAAAGCAGTGAAAACAGACAAGGCAGGGAAGGGCAGAAGCGGAAGCGGCGGAAGCGGCGGAAGCTTGGGAAGCGGAAGTTTGGGAAGCGGAAGCCTGAGCTCTGGCTCCAAGAAGGATGGAAGGCAGAGGCAGGATCGCCAGGGAGCAGCGGCTCAAGGAGCTCGGGGTGCCAAGGAGCCGAAACGGAGCCAGGGCCAGCCGAAGGGCCGCGAGGGCCGCGAGGAGGGGCCCGGCAGCGAGGATCTCAGCGAAGCGGCCTTTGAGGCGGCGGCGGCCGCTGCCCGGCAAGCGGCCGAGGAGGCCGCAGAAGCAGCGAAGGCAGCGCAACTGCAAGAGCAAGTAGCAGCTCAGCGTGAGGCCCAGCTAAAGGATCTTGAAAGTCAATTGGTCGCGGCAAAGAAGCGCAACGAAGAGCTGGAAGCAGCAGCTGCACTCGCAGCACGCAGGGAGGAAGAGCTTGCGGCGCAGGCTGCGGAGATGCAAGATCTGGCATCCAAACTGAGCAGCACGAAGCAGCGAAACCAGGAGCTCGAAGCTGAAGCTGCGGCCGCTAAAGCAGCCAGCAAGGCTGCGAAGGACCAGGCCGCCAAAGCTACGGCTGTGGAGGAGCACGCGAGAGAAGTGGCGGAGGCGGCGGCCGCGGCGGCTTGGGCATCAGCGAAGGAGGCTTGCTGCCAGTGGAGCAAGAGTGTATAAGAGTCGTTAGACGCACCCAGTGTGCTCAATATTCCTCGTGCAGTCTCGTATCGCCGAAATGCGAGCACGGCCCATGCCTGCTCAGGCACGCTTAACCGGATGCTCTGTCCTCCACACCGAAGAGCGCTGATGTCCATCCAAAGAACCTGAGGAAGTGGAGTCCGAAGCTGTTTCCTGGGCGCCGCCTGCCACAGGGCTGCCACAGGCCTTGCTCGGCTAAATGTTGTAAGCGGCGTTGGCATTCTTTCAATTTGCCAGCTCAAGGATGGAGACAAGGCCCAGGAAGGTGCAAGCAGGCAGAAAGCCAACTCGGATCAGACTCGGCAGTGGACTCAGGACAGGCGAGGGTTGGTGGACCCATGGCAAACTACCGTGGTTTGTGCATGGCATGGCATGTGAACATACCAGAACACCGCAGGCTGGCTCAAAGGTGCTTAACGTAAATCAGCACCGCCCAGCCTCTCAGCCTCGCAACGTAGTTTGAGTGACCTGGCGAAGAATTAATCTTCAATTAGTTATGGTTGTGAACTCTGCATCTGTCTTTGGGGGGGGGGGGGGTTGCGGTCTCCTTATGGCAGGCGCCAGCGGGGCGCCGAGGGCAATGCCCTACAGCACCTTTGCCCAGACAGGCATGCCGAATTGCCTGGAATCTAGAGTTTTCGGGGCTGTTGGAAAGCGACCGTGTGTCAGGAGCCGGCAGACTTCCGACACAAGCATTTGTGCCGGGCAAAAGGCACGGATCCAATTCCGTCGTGCAGTCAGAGACCTGGGTTACTCAGCAGCAGGGCACCTCTTTGTGCAGGAAGCGGCTGAATGCTTTAGCGATCGGCCTCAACATTCTGCTTCCAACAGTGGCCTATGCGATCGTCTTCGGGGCGGACGTCTCAATATGTCTCAATGCTTGGCTTTAGATCTGTTTCCGAGTGCAAGTAGAACTAGGGGGCATAATGACCTGAAAGGCTCTAGCTTTCAATGTGCGCTATGAGACGCCCCGTCTTGCATGGTCGATTGCAGTCACAAGCTTGGTTTCTCCAGAGCTCTGCAGCTGCAACGGGAACAGGGTGCATGCGTAATGACCATGTCATTGCAAGGCATTGGGCCTCCTTGCCTCTGCAACGGCGTGAGGACCCGAGTGATCACCAGACATCTTCCACTCATCTACCCAAATGTGTTGGTCTCGTTGCGGTGCTGAATGACATTAGGGTGACATGGGGGTTTGTCCCCCCAAACATGTTTCCGCCGTCCTGAATACGTCACACCCCTGTTCGTTCCCCAGATCCCTTCCCGGGAAAGCAGTACATAAGTACAGCAGGAGTACAGTAGTACAGTGGGGTACGGTAGTAGTACGGTAGTAGCACAGTATATGGCCTGTGAGGGGTTGGTTTGGTGGGTTTAGGAATGGCTAGGGCTTAGAAGAGTTTCAGAGGGTTTTGGGGGGGTTTGGTCCTGATTGGGGTGTCGGTGGGCTTAAGTAGAAGGGTTTACGAAGATCCAGGGTTTAGGTTTTGGGGGGTTTGGGTTTGAATGGGGTCTGAGGGTCCAGATTTTTTGGACGCTGGTTTTGGACGCTGGGCTAATCTGGGCCCTCGAAAGCTCAAAGCCCAAGCTGTAGACCCATCAAAAATCCTCCGAAATCGTTCCAAAATACTCATACTAAAGTCTCAGGCCTCCTCTTGCCATCACAGTTAAGACAGTTAAGATTGACCATTAGCAGAAGTGAAAATCCAAGCGAAAAACGGCTGATTTTTTGGACATGGTAGACGGCCACCCACAGAATGCCAAATCCTGGATAAGCACTGGCACCGGGAAAAGCATGACAATTTACAAATGTATTAACTCATCTAAACAGAGAGTGTCACGGAAAAAAACACTTTAAGGTTGGCTCTGGGTCGATGCTCCCGCGGTTTGGACTCGCAGCCCATGTGGTGTTCCTCGCAAGCTTTCCTTGAATTCCTGAGCACTCTGTGTCTCTTGATGGCTCTTCTTGTCGCGCTAGGTACACATTCTTCGCAGCATCTCTGGGGCTGGCCGTGGTGATGGGCGCAGTTCTGGGAGACTACACTTTCCTCAGCACGATGGAGGCGCGGTTCCCACGGCTTTGGATGTTGGTAAGGGGTCGCATTGTCGCTGAGCAGGCTGCCTTGGACTTCCAAAACTTGAGCAGCTATCCTGCGCGGATCCGAGCAAGCCGAAGTACAACTCGCTGCACACCAAGAGCTTGGGCTGGGAGCGTGTCAGTATCGAGGCAGTCGATCCTGCCCGCCAGAAAGGGCAGCAACTGATGGATGCTGGCCGCGTTTATTTCGCCTCGGACAGCAAGCTTGACTTCGCCAAGCAAGAGGCCAAGACCGCGAACATGGCGCGCAGATGACCAACGCGTGGTGTCACAGCTTGTTTGGCTGAGGTCAATGAGCTTCCACGATTTTGACGAGTGCAGCCTGAGACAATAAAGTGTGGACATGTGCGGACCGATGTGGGCTTCGAGGTATTGCGTCGTCCCAATTGTAAGCGGAACGGATGCGCTGGCGCGGGCAGCTCAGATGAAGCGTCTGCAACTTCGCATGCTTGAGCCGGAGACACGAGTTCCTGTCGGTTGCCCGCAGGGGGAGCTGACTAATTCAGGAACCATGCGGCATTGTCAGGAACCATGTGTCGGGAAACAGACAGGGGAAAGCCAGGAAACAACGGGGCACGCGTCAGGAAATACCCGCCACAGCAGTCGAGAATCATGGACATAGGGATTCAATTAGTGGCGCTGTCACGTAAATTTACATGACGCTTTTCTTGACCGTCATACACGCCGACCGTCCGTAGGCGGATCAAGGCGGATTCTTAAAGCCTGAAGTCCACCTATACAACTCCCCCGGGGTCATGTAAACTTACATGACGCAGGGGAGTTTCTGGGCATTTCTGGGCGGTTGTGTCCCGACTCTTGCCCGATCTCTTTCCCGACTCCTACCCTGCATGTTCCCGACTTCTGCTTCCTTGCTTCCCGACTCGCGCCGACATGTTTCCGACTTTGGTTCCGCGACTCTTCCCACACCCTGCCCGCAGGTCATATGACTTTTGGGCAGTTGGGGTCAACTGCTGCAGCGGGCCAAAGCAGCAGTTTCGCTGTGGAGAGCCATGGCCTGAAACCGCCGACGTTAACAAACTCAAGATGCGCTGCCACGAATCACGAAGGTACGGCAATTTGCACGCTCGATCTGGACTTCGATACCTTGAGGAGGCGAGAAAGCCCAGAGCATGAGATTCCAAAACGTACAAGTCTCCGAGTGCTTTGCAAATGGTCTTGGACAGGGCAAGCGTCAGTTCTTTCGGCTGGCAGTGCAGCAGGCGGAGGCTGCCTACGGAATCAAGGTGCCTCTCGCAAGTATCTGCTCTCTAGTCAGGTATGCCTTATGCTGCCTATAAGGCCAACCATCCGCTGTTCTTCATGTGGACGCAAGATCCGCTGATGCTGGTCACCACCAAGGTGCCAGCCCTTTTCAAGCACAGGTCACAAGTCACGACCTACCAGGAGTAAGAGAGGATTCAAGCATTTCACCTTGGCCCAGGTGGAGGCTGCCTGGCGATTCTATTACTTCACGGTGTGGGCCCAGATGCCTATGCGCTTCCAACCCTGGGCATTTTGCTCCTGAGGTCGCCGCCCACTTCTTCACCAATCTCTCTCTGGTGCTTGTAGCCCTGCTCGGTTTCTCCAAACTGGGCAGTTGATGGTAATGCTCGCGGAACTGACAGCGTGGCACAAAAAGGAGGCGAGTCTGAGGCTCTAAGCCCCGAGCACGCGAGCGCTCGAGGACGTGATGCAGATGGCCCCTGTTGTCAGAAAGCTCAGGCCAAGCGACAGGAGATCGCGGCGCGACCAAGGCAACGGCCGAGGCCAGTGCTTGCAACGTGTCTGTGGATTCTGCGGATTCTTCCACTCGCCGGCCTCAAGGCAGCCAGCGGGAAGCATCGGACAAAACCAATTTGGGCACCAGCGCTGCGCCGCTGGCTTAGGCCTAGGCTTGCGTAGTGATGTAGTGGCTAGGCAGCCGTCGACTCGCTCGCGGAGCTGCGAACAATGCCAAGGCATGCGACGCGAGATGATGGCCAACTCGTCGAGGGGCCTCCCCGACATAAAAGTGTTAGACACTCAGCCCAAGAGCAGTTGCAGCCCGGCTGACATGCGACAGCACCTGATGATCAGGTTCGCCTCGCAGATGCTGCTACCAGGACCTGGCACATGACACATCGCCCCATCCTTTCTTATAGTTCCGTATCCGGCTTCTGTGAGGATTGACTTTGACAGGCAAGACACGGACAAGAATCCGTCAGGTGCATTTGCATGTTGCACGGTGCAGTAGCCAGTAAATATCGGACCCCCCTTTTTGTTCGCGGTCTCGAACACACTCGAGCATGTTTCAGTACTCAAGGGCCGTCGGGGGCATGCACTGCGGCCATCAGACTCCAACATCACTGCAGGTAGGGCACGTAGACACAGATTTGGCCTGCTGCGCAACAATGCTGCGACTCGGTCACCTGGTGATTTCTGCAGATTTTTCCATCCTAACAGCAGCAGTGCTGCAGCACCTGCCACAGCACCAGTGGCATGCTGTCAAAGTCGTTGCCCATGCGGGATAAAACAAGAGTAGCTGGAGTAAAGACAGTGTGCCAGAGTTGGGAACAACTCCTGTAGTCGCGTAGCCCAACATCCCAGGAGGTAGGCCTTGACTTGGGATTCAGTACAAAGGAGGAAGTCGCGCTGTGAACATTGACCATCCACCACTTGGCCTGTCACGAATAGCACCCTGCTGGTATGGCCAGGGTCAAGTTACGCACAGAGGCTGTAAATGCTTCGACCCTGTCAGGGATTCTTGACTTGGCAACTCGTGGGTTCGCTCGGCACTCGTAGCCTCAGGTTCCACGCCAGTTTGTCTAGCTGCTTCAGGATTTCTAACCCTTCCTGGCGCTGGAGGCGTCAGCGACCCTCGCACCTGAAGCGCATTTGTCCTTCAATCACTTTGTGACCCACCTTTCCTAGGAATCACGGTCGATGAGAGACTCACTGCTTCCATCGCATCTGAAAACGCAGCAGTTCGTTTCTTACTTATTTCCGCCTCATCAGGACTGCACCACCGCACCGCCACACAGCCACACCCCCACACCACCACATCATTACTTGTACATGTACCTCAATCACCACCATTATGCTTTCTGTTGTTCTGCCGACTCTGCGTCACAGCGGCTACCAGCCCGTTGCTTGAAGCCCTGACCAGGTGCGGGGAAAGCACCAGCGCGCGGAGAACGTGGGGCGAAACGGGCAGGCGCACATGTAGCATCCCATGTCGCCTACACTTTCGTGCTTACATATTGCTTCGGCAACCTCCAGCAACTATCTCCGAGGAGCCACCTCCTTTTCAGCAAGGAGTTCCGACGGGAATCCGGCCAGCAAGCTGCCCAGTTCCTTGTGGTCATTGTGGGTATGCATCATTCAAGCAGAAGCGAAGAGCAGGTCGGGCAGGAAGCATGCGTTTGGGTTTGAGCCCGAGCGGCAATGTTGCGAGACCGGCTTTCGGCGATGAGTGCATGCCCCAGGTTCAGATCGCCGAGGAGCTGCGATGTCAAAGAGTGGGGAGGCATTCCCAGGCTCCTGACGAATGCCAGGGACGATTGCATCTGCACATGTTTCTGCGGGATGCCTCATCCATTTATCTCCATTGGAATGGGCTCAAACCAGGCATCAAACTTGGTTTGCTGTGCGGGCTTGTTGGGTCTCTCTGTGTTCAAGGCATGGTTGAGGCACTGTAGTGGCGCAGTCAGGGGCACGTATATGTGTGCCAGTTGGTCCGGCTGTTGAGGTTTTGTGTCTCTGTGCGTTGCAGAGCGTCGCGGGAGCGGTCTGCAAGCCATGGTTTGGCCGCCGCCACAGGTCACGACATCGTCGAGGAAAAACAGAAGCTGCCGTGCATATCTGTTCATACTTGGCGCTGCTCTTGCGGCAATCTGGGTTCTGAAGGGCGTTTCCTTTGTGGGCGGGCCACGATGCAAGCGTCGCTTGTCGAAGCACTGTCATTCCTTCTCAGTAGGATCAACAAAGAGCCCAGAGCAGCACTAGTAGTTTAGTTGTGCCACGAGTGCTGTAGAGCAAGTAGAGCTAGTAAGCAGTGATGGCAGTCGTGGTCGTGGTGGTGATGCTGGGGTGATAGTGGGGTGATTCACTCATTGACCGCATGTTGGAGTACTGATGCTTACAAGCTGAGCTGCGAGTCTTGCTTGCATCTCCGGAACCTGACCTCGCCAACCCTTCGATGTAAGACGTTGTCAATGTTGACCCAAATCCATTTTGTTCTGCTAAGAAGCAGCGGAGGCGCAGAGAGCAGGCTTTCAGCCTCGGCTTCTGGGTATATTCCTGGTGTGGGTTCTTTGTCCGATGATGTGCGAAATGCTCCTGGGCTTCGAAGTCGACGTTCCCGTGTGGTTTCTGGGCCGGCCTGAAGGAGAATGTAAGAACCGCGAGACCGAGGTAGCCTTGCAGCCGGGCAGTTTGGGAATGGAGATTGATCCAGAGAGTGGTCTGGTGAAGGAGGTCTTCGATGGTGCGGCAAAGAAAGCCGGCGTGCAAGCAGGGTGGGTGTTCCAGACCGTGGCGGGCAAACCTTACGAGCTGCTGGCTCTGAAGGCACTGCTTCGCGGCGAGGAGCCTTTCGAGGCCACCTTCGGAGTTCTGAAGCCGAACCCCAGGGCTCTGCTCAAGACAAGCAAGGGAACCATCGAGGTCGAGCTCTTCTTGGACCCGTTCGGGATAGGGATAGGGATAAGGAACGTCGCTTCAGCCATTCCTCAGACCTGCTACGTGTCTGTGATTTTGTCTGCAAGAAATCATAGCACTTGTAAGAAGTGGTCACACGTGAGTTTCGTGATAACAGCGGATCCGCAAAGCACAGCCTCACTGAGACTCCTTGGCTTGTTGTTTGCCTTTCATTGTTTGGCCGGTCATCCGATGAATCAATTTTTGGAGTAGGTTCGAGAGGCTAGCGATGCAAACAGGACCGGGTGCCACGCACGGCCTCGAACTTCATCGACCTTGCCCAGACAGGCTTCTACGACGGTGTGCATTTTCACAGAGTTATTCCGAACTTCATGGTTCAATTCGGTTGCCCCAATGCCAAGGACCTTGGGCCTTGAGTTTGCAGAGCGTTTGAATCTTGTGCGACAGGGTGGGGCATGGAGACTGAGACATTTGTTGAAGATCGCAGAAACTATGCTTCCGTGCCACTTTGTTTTCTGCCACGGCTAGGGCAGGGATTCGGTACCAAAAAGGTACTACATTTCCAAGACGGAAAACTTTCAAGCCTCTCAGCTGAGTCAACCGGCTGCTCTTGATGCATCAGTCAGGGCGCCGAGTGACCTGCATGTAACTTGGCTGTCACAAATCATTGCATGTCGGAGTGGAGGTGCCAGCAGGGCTTTGATGGAACGTGGAAATGCTCACGCTGGGCCAAGCAGGGAACTGCGGCGAATATCCGTTTGGGTTGACTCGGTTCAGCCCCTTGTTTTCCAGGGACCTGGTGTACTGAGCAGCAGATGGTGCACGATAGAACGAGCACAGCATGTGGGCGGGAGCAGGGGCACATGTCTTAAGGACGTAATTTGCCGGGGGCTCCTGTACCGTGAAAGTTCGGGGTGATGCCCCGCCCTTGACGAGGATTGGGTCATGATGCGCACTTACTGAATACAGCCCGCGCGCGCATATGTGTGCGTGTGTGTAATGGGGAGGCCATCGGGTGAGCAGTTGGCGATACTCATTGTTGCAGGACCCGTTCAGTCCTTACGCAGGCACGGGCGGGCCACCAGACGGGTCATTCCAAAATCTGGCCACTGGCATCACCGAGCAGCGCTTCAGAGGTGGCAACATCAAGGAGCAGTTGTGAACAATGGCCTGTTCGAGGTTGTTCGAGTCTTCTGTGAAATTATCTGGGCAGCACCAGTTCTCGGAGCTCCTGAGGACGAGTTTGTTTCTCAAGACAGCAACGTCAAGGGCAGTTTGTCAATGGCCAACACCGGCCAGCCGGATTCCGGCGGGTCGCAGTTTTTCATCAACGTGCCTCGCTCGCAGACCTTTTCTGTGCTGGCCGTAGTGGGGGAGGGAGCATTCCCGTTTTTTGCTTTTCTGAATCGGAGGTCAGAGACAACAGCTTCTTGGACTGGTTCTCGCCTGGCGACTCCCGACATCCAGTGTTTGGTCGCGTAGTTGACGGCTACGATGTGGCTGTGAAGATCTCTAAGGTCTATACGCAAAGCGATAGACCGGTAGAGCCAGTCATGATGGAGTCCGTGTCTATCAAGATGTAAGGCATTGTCTGTCTTCCCACTCTCAAGGCCCGAAGGTGCAAGCGAGGTGTGGGATGGAGAAAATGGAGAAATTGAGGTAAAGATGCGTAAAGCACTTGCAGCTGATTTGCAGCTGTAGCTCTGACTAGCTCTAGAGAGCCTCGCCAGGCTTGACCAAGAAGCAGCCGGAATCCCCAAGCCCAACGTCGCCAATGTCTCCACAGTTTGATCCCAGCGCAGGCGCCTTCCAATCTTGGCGTTGGCACGTGCGAGAGAAGCAAAAACAGCATGTCGACAGCCGTTCCTCTCAGAGTCTACCTGCCGCTCGAGGAGTTAGGCCAGCCGTGTCACAATTCCGTGCTTTCAGAGTAGGTACTGTATGGAGGCAACAAGCAGCGTCGCATGAAATACTTAGCGTGCCCGCCGCAAGCAGATGTGACAGTTGGCATGCCGCATGGGGCGCTTGCTGGTGCTCAGACATTGCTTCAGCTTTTGCGACCTGGCCTAGCTTGCGTTTACTTGATTGGGTCAGAAGGGAAAATCAGTTTTTGATCTACGCCACTCTCAGGCAGCCCAGTCGCGATCCGGACCTAGGACACGAGACACACCCTGTCCTGCAGTCTTGCGTCCCTTGCCCGAGAAAGTGCAGTTACAGGAGTGGACTTGACCACGCATGGCAGCATCCGGAGCCGAGCGTTGCGGCCAAGACATCCGGTGAAGAGGGGTGATGTGATCTTTGCAGCGCCGCCAAGCCACGTCATCCACCCTGAGGATGCGGAGGGCAGGCGCTAGTTTACGGAGAGATGGGCTTCGGCTACAGTAGCCAGTCACTGCATCTGCCGAGCCAGGCGCTTTGCGGGCTGTCGCGATGACCGTTGCAAGCTGGCCCTGCTTGTGGCCGAGATGCGCGCCTGGCCTGCTGGACGTACTCGAGGTCGCTTCTGGCAGCAGCTCGTCATGCGATAAGGCATCCTGAATGAAACCTGCAGTGCACTGCATGCTCAAACTGATCGAGGACGGCCATCGCCTCTTATCCTTCCCTGGCAGAGTTCGAGTCCCTTGGCGTTCCGCTCGCGGCCTCCGAATCCGCCCTTCGTGTGCTTGACCAAACCCCTGAGTTTGCCCCCCTCGTCGCGTCGGTGCGAAGCACGCGAGCGAGCATGCTCTCCGCTTTGGGAGTGTACAACAACAGCGAGAGCCACAAGCACTTAAAGTTCGCAGATGTGCTTTGGGGCCGGCTGGTTGTGGAAACAAGCAACTTCGAATCCAACTGTGGTCTGCACTTGGCACCGGTTGCTGATCTGGTAAACCACAGCAGCACACCCAATGTGGAGTACTCCTGCAACCAGAGCACGGGGGAAGTTATACTCACCGCAAGCCGAGACATCTCCACCGGAGAGGAGCTGACGGCAATTTGTCGGGCATTAATTTCGTCAGGCCTCTCTTGCGAACGCAATATGACCCAGACGAGCTGCTCAGGCACGCTATAATCGGCTCCCGGCGCTGGACAACTTTGCGCGGTACGCCATGGTGGAGCTTCGCCTCGACTAAGTTTGTGACTGACTGTAGTCGAACGCGCCAGAGCTGAAGGGGTAAAGGTTGGACTAGGCCTCGGCAGACAGAGCACTTGGTAGTAGGGCCTCAACACCAAGAGATGCTAGAGGTGAGCCTGGGTCCGTGCAAGCAGGGGAAGACAGCCATTCTTTTCTCGTACCACGCAAGGAAGATCAGCCGAGCCCAGTGGGGCTGAGCTCCGCGAGCTGTTTAAAGCTGCAGCTGACCAGACCCCTCGGCTGGTTTGGAGGGATTCGGCCCTTGCTTGGTGGGGTAAGCCCATAGGCTGCGCTAGTAGTGACTCAGGATTGGATGGGGAGCCGTTGCTTCGAGCCGCCGCTTTTCTGCATTGGTGCATCTGTTCTGTTGCAGGCTGTAGCATCCTGCGATGGCGGTGAAGGTTCGAAGTTACGTCAAGCTGCACTGTGGTGGCCAGCGTGTTTTCGAAGATCCTCTTGCATCGAAGTCGAAGGCTACAGCCTCAGTCTGATGCGCTGCAACTGCACTTTGTGAGTTCTGGTCCCTGGAAGAGGTGCCAGAAGCACCGGACCAGATTGGACGCCAGCGTGAAACCAAGCACAATGCGCCGAGCTCCGGCGAGGGCGAAAAGCCTGGGCCTGGACTCGAGACTATGCAGTGGGGCCCTCTACCACCGTTAACTCAAATACCAGGCATCTCGAACCAAGTATATGGTCCTCAGCCCTACATTCCTTTGCCATCAGCCGCATGGAGCTCAGCGATGCCGGTGCTCTCTGCTCAGATGGGCGGACTGGTTATGGAATATCTGCTAGTGCCCGGACTGCCAGCCTTTCACGGTCTGCGAAGTCCCAGGACAGGACCACCTGTCCGGCGGGCTGATGGGAGTGATGCGATAGCGCGCAGAACAAGATGGACGAACCGGGCAACCGTGGGAACATTTCTTTGAACATGGCGAGCCTGCCAATGTGATGATGAGAGCTGGTGGTAAAAAGGTACACTGTTCTCCGAATCGAAGTGGGAGGCCAGGGAAGTGGATCGACCAAGAGCGCTTGCCAGCGAGAAGGTCCAGGTGGTGGCAAACCACATCATGGCCGACGGGATGGCAGCTCAACCCGCAGGTCAACACCTGGGTGCTTCGGCATGAGGGCGGATCACTGAACGAAGTGAAACGCGGCGGCGCAAAAAAGGATGCGGCCTGGGTTTTGAAGTCGTAGCCCATGAAGGAATTCTTAGGGAAGTCTTTCTTGCAGGCTACGGATTTTAAGGCTCCGTAAGGGCTAAGGGCGTCTGCGGCGGGGGCCTGGGTCTGGCCTCAGGACGGCAGCGAGGACGGGAGGTGACGCTGACCGAGGAGCGCTTCTTCCAAGCGCCACCCGCCGGCGCGTTGCAGGCGCCTGCGGGGAGCGTCGCTCGCAGGTCGTTCCCTTCAAAATGCCCTGCTCTGCAGGTGGACGAGCACGGCCCAGGCCGAGCCCTGGGGCTGCTACGGTAAGCATGTCTAATCTCGGGAGCTCGTATTGCTGTCTGCCAGGCGTTGACGATTGTGACCGAGAAGTGATGATGGGCGTTGAGGATGATGATGGTGACGGCTCCCGAAGTTGCTGGCCGTATTTGCCCGAGAAAGCAACAATTCAAACAACCATAGCGCCATTGGATATTCTGGTCCCAGGTCTCAGGCTGTTTCCATCGGTTCCATTGGGTCCTATATGCAGATGGAGGCACTGATGGCTTAGCTAGCAGCAGAGCCAGAACGGCACAGCTACACATCCTATCTTCAGGATGTCTCCGAGATCTCACCAGACTCACCCGGCCAGTCTGCCAAGTCTGCCGGGTGGCGAAAGCTACGTGCGAAATACGGCAACGGCCTTACATCGGCATGCAGCATGCGCTTGTGCAGAAGGCACCCCTCTGTCAGCTGCACGAAGGTACGGCCGCTGCTTTTGAACAGCTGCTGCAGCAAGTCCGTGCGCACAACACCCAGCAGCTGTACGAAGATGATTGGACCCCTAGCCGCAAGTTTTTTTAGTATTCCGATCGCGAGTTTCGTGTTGTTTTCTTGTAGCTGCATGCCGCCCGTGGGTCGAAGTCTTCCGCACTCAGGACGCACACATTGGCAAGCTCTCCTGTTGCTGCTGATGGTCGTCCAGAGCCCGTGCAATCTGTGCATCTGCTTCGGGATTTGCTTCTCAACTTCACATACCTTCGAACCGTAAGCTCCTGCATCTCATGAGGCATGTAAGTTTTCACATGTGCCCTGTTATCTCCCCGAAATCGGTGCAGAGAGTCTTCTTCTGGCCAGGATGCCCCACCAGGAGGAGGTACTAGTAACTACTAGTTACTAGTGGCATACTGCAGCGAGCATGAAGCTGCAGTGTGAAAGGCCGAGAGAGCTCCAGCGAGTTGAGCCATGGCCCCTTCGCCTGCCCGTGGCGCACGTGTGGACTTTACAAGACGATGGCCAGGCACCTCCGAATCCTGGGTCGAAACACTTTTTAACCCGAAAACCGTGGCCTCCTTCAGCCCTCGCCTGTTAAGACAGAGTCTGCCTTCGAAGCCCGGTAGTTCATGCCGTGATTCCTTAGTCTGAAATATAGAGTCGGATTGCTGCGGTAACTGACATTGTCAGGCGCAAAGCGAGCAGACAATGCTGGCCTTACCGGACGTCGTTTTTCATCTTCCTAGCTGGTGCTGTGGACACTTTGCAGAAGTCTTGGCAGCGGCCAGCCCTCGGGGCTTTTCGGCCTATGTTCACGGCGCCGAGGTGTTTTTCGTGGTTGGGCAGCCTGGGGAGCGCACCACGCTGCTGGCGAATGTGGGCTTCGAGCTTACGCTAGGAAGCGTTTCTTTGCCAGAAGGCCAGGCCCGGGCGTGTCCAGTGAGACTTTCCTCGCGCTCGCGGCCTGTGAAGGACAGCCAGATGAACACGAGCCGCCGTCTGCAGCCCGGTCGAACCCCCAAGGCCTCAGCTCCTGGCAACTTCCTTGCAGAATTGCCTTGCCTTGGGGTCTGTTCCCCTGCTGTCGGTGCCTGCCGCACCTGCCGCATTCAGAAAGAAAGGTACGGCTTCTACATACATGCTCATGGGCGCCCGGCAGCTGTGATTCGTTTAGTCAGAGAGCCTTGGCCGAAGTCTCGCGCTCTATGGTGCTGCTGTATTTCTGATTGAGAAGAAAAACTACTGATTGCCCCTGTCGGCTCTATCAGAATCAAGGAGGTCAAGAAGTTTTTTGCCGGATCTCCGACGCTGGCTTGCCCAAATTAGTTGTTGTAGTCTGGGCCTCGGTGGCTGCTGCTAGTTTTGCTACGGTGGATTCGAGGATCTATTTGATGAGTGAAGGAGCCTTGCAAGTCACGGTTTTCGATTGACTGCGGTGCCTTCTCATCCGTGTGACCAGCCTGAGCATTGCCCCGGGCACCAGGATACATGGACTTTGCACCGCTTTGTGCAGCAGAAGGTTGCAAATTTGTGATGTGTCCGCCTGCTAACGACCGATGGCATCCGACACTGGCAGGAATTCAGTAAAGTCGGGGATCCTTTTAGATGTTGCCCAGCCGTTTCGTGCTGCTGCCGATGCTGCCGACAAACGAGGTGGCCTTTCTTGCGACGGCTACACGATGCCGCAACGTACTTGCAATCCGAATTCGTGATACTTCTGGAGCCTGACAACACGCTCCTCGGCGACGCACGACGTTCCTTGAGTCTTCAGCTTTCTGTTTATGGGGCATCTGTAAAGTCTTCAACTCAACAAAGGCTTCATGGGAGCATAAGGCAAAAGCCTGACTTTGATGCAGGGGGCCTGCTTGTGAAGGTGACTTCGCTCGTGCGCATAAATTCCATTGCTTGTAGAGTTTACAGCATGCACCAGAGCGGAAGGACAGAAAACTTGGTGGCAGTGAATACGCGACGGCCTTAGATTCCTTAGATGCAGCTGATGTGCAGAGCAAATGGTCGCAGCTTTCATGAAGGTTTAGGAGAGAAGGAAGAAGGGGCAGGAGGATGGCATCTCACAACGTCGCGTTGCTCCCGAGACCCGCAGGTGCTCTAGACTTTGAGAGTATTTCGGTGTCCCGCAGAGTACAAGTTCCAGGAGGTTCAAAGACTGGACTGCGAGAGGTTGTGTTAGTCAAGAAAGCTCCGCGGAGTTTTCAGGGAGCTTGGTTCAGTATCTCACAAAATTCCCGTGGTGGGGGGGTTGTGAGCGGGAGCGGGGCTGGCGGGGTGATCTATCCCCCACCTGCAGCTGGCCGGGGGTGTGTTTGGGATATTTTGGAGTCTTGCGTCGGTCCCCTTTGGCAAGGCTTCGGTAGGAGAAATGGGTCTCCTCTGATGCTGCTGATGTTGGCTGCAGGGCCTCTTTCATAATACCCAAATCTGGAATATGCAGTTTTTTGGCCCCCAGCCATCTAAAACAGTTTCGTGAACACCGAACATGCCGCGGCAAGCTTCATTGTGTGACTGGCTCGAGCCGCCAATTGTATGGGCTGCATACCGCCCGTCTAGAGTCGCCTTTCGTAGACTTTGAACACGCCACGCAGAGCAAAAGATCCCACTAGTGGCGTAGACAGCAGTCACGTGAGTGCTGCTTCTTTTCTCAATACAGAACGTGCATTGTCGTCCAGTTCTCGAGCTTTACGTATCTGATCGCATGTCGTCTGTCTCTCCCAGCCCTGTGTCGCCAGTCCTGTCCGTTGTTGAGTTTTTCGCCGCGGCCCGTGGCTCTCAAGCGCAGTCGAGGCTGTGATCCGGCGTGCGTGTTGATGTAAGGTGTGGTTGTCAGGTAGCGCGACAGTCTCACGCCGACATAGGGGCGTAACGTGTAGGAGGTACACGACTCCAAGACGGAAGCGCACATCCCAATCCTTCCGTCCACAGAGAGAACTGAGAGAAAGAGCCGACGTGCAAGCAAGCAAGCAAGCAAGCAAGCAAGCGATGCAGGGGCCAGGGGCCTCCTCTTTCTGCTTTCATGCGCTCGACTAGTAGCAAGGGAATTCTGTAGAGCAAGCTGCGACAGGTTGCCAGACTCTGACTCGAGCCCCGAGACGGGAAGAGACAGCACTTGGTCTGCTCGCAGCAGCATGTTTGCTTTAAGTCTTACGCTGGTGTGGACCTCCGCACAGATTCAAAACCGCCACTCATACAGGCTGACACATGGCCCGACTTGCCACATCACCGACCTGAATGAGTCACCATCTGCCATGATGACACCTCGCGCCATGTTCTCGCAGCAGCCATTCTCTGTACCTGTAGCCAGCCAACAAAGGCACGAAGCAGAGAAGTGGCAGCCGCATAAGGAGCCTCGGAAGCCAAAGCTCTCAGGTCGAGCGGCTGGCCCGTGTTCGCGTTTCTGATTTCCACTGGACCCCCAGCAGTCAGGAGGCTGTGCAAGTTGGGAGAAGCTGAGTAACAGCTGCGAAATTGGCAACTGGCATGGTTCTCGACATGTTGTTGCTGTTGCTGACAGGTTGCCCTTCGTGGAGGATCTTGCTTTCGCAGAGCTGTGGTCTTGGACGCTTTCGCGGATGAGAACGTGGCGAAGATAGACTGGAATATGCTCGCAGAGAATTTCAGCAAGGAGCATTAGCATAAGCAAAATTTCCATTTGTCGAATCTTGCCCCGAACTTCGCAGTATACGAGCAAGCAGCAGACGAGCATGTACCGATGTCGCTGTCAGTGGGCCCAAGCGAGCAGAATCATGTTGAATGGGAAAGCCGATAGCTCCTGCATCAGTTGATGGCCTACCAAAGAGGCTGGAATCGCTTGCAGAACTCACCGCACTGGAGGCCCTTGGAAGCTTTTTCCAAAGACCCGCTGCGCTTGGAGCTCGGCTTCGGAACCGATGTGAACAGCACCGGGCGAGAAGACATCCGACAAATTTGCAAGCACATGGGCTTAAACTTTCGGTGTGTCGGAGACGGCACGCAGAAGCGAATCATGGCGCTGAAGTTGGACCAAATCCGGGAGCGGAAGCGTGCCGAGGAATTGGCGCTGGAAGCCCCACGGGCTGTCGCGGGCTTCTACAGAGGCACCCTGTAACTTGACCCTGATTGGCATCGAGTTGACTTGGAAATTCGTTTTGGGGTCGAGTGGGTCGTAAGTCCGACGTGGCACAAGTCCTGGCACAAACAATGGGAAACAAGGAATGCATTGCCAGAAACAGAGAAGTTCAAGATCAACGCTTTGTTCGTGCAATTCTACGGCGGCGAGAGGGCCTGGTCCCTGGGCGAAGCGTATGCCCCGGAGGCCTTGCGGGCCGACGAGGACGACTCCTGGTAAGTACTGGTTTTGAGAATATGAGTTGTTTCAGTGGTGGTCATAAAAAGCACTCTCCCTGGATGTCGGAGTCCCTCCCTTCGTTGTTACCCTCTCTTCCAAAAGTGGTGTCTGCACGAAAACCTGCGGGGCAGTTCCCCGATGCCAGCCAACGAAGCTAGCTAGGGGAACAGGCAGACGAAGCTGTGGACACAAAGTCGGGCCCTTTCTCTGCTAAACGTGTCAGCAGCAGTTTTAGCAGTCGTGTCGCAATTCAGAGAAAGACGTCCCTTCCCAAGAAGGAGTGAGCCATCGTGAATGAGCTGACAACAAGTATGTGATGGTGTGTGATAAGAAAGATCAGAAAGATCTGTGGAATCAGTGGTTGCCGTGTCGGAGGTGCTTGGCGTGAGTCTGACCGAAACTGAGGAACGCCGCGAGAAGCGTCGGCGACTGGGAGAGGAAGAGGCCTCCGAGAGCGACTCAGAGGACATGGAAGCGCTCCTTGGCCGCTGGGCGACAGTGCAGAAGGCCGGGCTTCAAAATTGCACTCCCTTCGAGACCTTGCAGTGTGCGGCCACGGAAGGACTGAAAATTCACAAGGGCACGGTCCTGGCTGCAGCGGCGAAGCTCCCATTGCTGTGCTTGAAAAAGTCCACTTGTCGACTCGGCGCAGGGTTTGGCTGAGGGGAGCGCCAGTCGATGTCAGTCGTGTTGAGAGGAGATCTTCTCTTATGACTCCGCAATGCAGCACCCCGGACTACCGGTGGCTCCGCTGGCCGCAGTACACTTCTGGCTGTGTCTGGTGTGAGGTATGCTCTTGCAGCTCGCGGCTGGGCTGTCATGCCGTGGACTGAAGTCAAGATGCACAAGGACAAGACAGAGGCATTTGGCACGGTCTGCATTCCAAGTCTGTCTTTTGCTTTCCTTTCATTGAGTCTCTTGCAGGACGGAAACCAAGATGCAGCATTCCTTCTCGGAAACCCGACGTACGCAACGGCCTTGAAAGAGACGTGCCCAACGGCCACTTAATTACTTTGCCCAGGCATGTCAATGTGCAGTTGAGGATGTGCAATTGAAGCCGGAGGATGCAAAACTGTACAGCAAGTCTGAGGAGTACCAGGCTCTAGGGCACCCAATCTGCCGTATCGTCTGAGCGCAGTTGGCATTTGCACCGTCTGCAGGGAAAGGATCTGACTTGTCAAGTGTGCGGCATGGCGGAATGGCATAGCACTGGTGTGCCTAATGAGCTGTCTCGTACCACCATGTATGTCCTTTTGTGTGAGCTACAGTTTTGCCTGTCCGAATCTTCCAAAGGTTACAGCTTCGAGCGATACGTTGAGCGATGGGGAACGGACAGATGTACAAATAGAAAGGCATTCGAGATTCTCGGTTGAAGCTACCCCACGGGATGTGTGCCATTAGCTTCCTGCGCTTCTGTCCAGGTTTTCCGATCGCCTAATCGGGCGCTACCACCCGCACTTGATACAGGGCGAGCCCTGTGAGACCGACCTTGCGAGCCTCTGTGACCTGTCTGCCCGAGAGGCCCGAGAAAGGCCCAGTGCGGTGCATGTGGAGGTACGCAACCGTCTGGAAAGGCGAGCTTGTTGCTCAGGTGAGCCAGGCAAAAAAGCGTTACGCTTTGCATCAACGACAGGCCGGATATCTGCAGATAACAGGTGTCTTCGACAAGTCTTGGCGAGCAGGATGAACATAGTTGTCGGGCAGGTGGATCTGGATTCGCCAGTCTTGCCAGCACCACCCGGGTCGGGGTCGGACACGGCCCCAGTTGGCTGTCAGGTGCTGTAGTTGCTGTTCAGAAGTGGTCGCTCTGCGGTTCCAAGTCGAGAAATATGGCTTCTACCTGCACGTGTTCCACTCTCCTGCAGCAGTTCTCTACCAGGCCACGCTTGCATCTTGTCAGTCCGCACTTGCGAAATAGCCCACCGTTCCAGAATGTTAGGCACGGGGCTGCGCACCACTCATTCTGACTCATTCCTGAAGTGCTTCTGCCAGTCCTGTCCCAGGGTGATGCGCAGTTCTCCTGCGTGGTCTGGTAGTCGTGTATGTTCCGCTCGACGTACTGTCTTGTCAACACATGCTCGAAGAGCAAGCTGCCGAATGATGACAAGTGTATGACCACGAGGGTTTGTCCTGGCGAAGCTCTTGCTTGCTACTGGGCTACTTGTGGTCAGCTGACATGAGTTTCAAGCTCTGCACTGTCTTTGTTGCAAGTAGCCAGCCCGAGTCCGGGTTCGAATCAAGCTTGCCATGCTGTTGCTGTTGCGAGTGCGAGGTGCGGAAACTCAAGGAAGTGTTTCCGACGTCACCGGTATACATCATGAGCCGCTTGTCTTCAGCTGGCCCTGCAGAGCTGCATGGGACTTGAAACTGACTCTATGCCGAACATGTTCTGAGGCGATGGTGGCCTTGACTTCGGTCCTTTGTGCAATCAAACAGGCCAGTGTTTGTCCGACATGGTATACTGGATCGGGGTCGGGCCATGGGTTCCAGGCGAGGACGAAGTGCCACCTGCAAATCATTGAAACACGCGAAGTCCACCAGAAAGAGCAAGCCTGAAATGCAGTCATGTTCGCCGCGACCGGACTGTGCAGACATACTTTCAAGGAGTGCTGGACCTGAAACGACAGTGACTTGTGACAATGACCTATTTGTGACCGCGAAACGACAATGATCTACCTGCACTACACTCTGTTGATGCCGTGCTGGTCACGCCCGAAGGTTGTACTGCGACTGTTTGCCCTCCTGCCAACGACCGCTGGCACCCGTGGCCATTCTTTCGGAGGCAGGGTTTTCATAAGAGCCGTCGGGAACTCATCCCGTTCGTCGGCAGGCTGTACGACGCAGCAGAGGCTCTGAACACGGAGTTCGTCATCATGTTGGAGCCCGACAACACGCCGCCAGCCCGAACACCGTACACACGCGAGTGAGTCTGTTTGTTCGCACAGGGGCCTCTTTTCACGCAGGGAAATGGATGGGAAAAGATGCCAATCGATATTCTGTAAACCGCTACAGCTATACGATGGTTGTTGCATTTTCATTGTTTTGCTTTCGCTGGCAATGGCTGAATCTAGATCTTGGACATGACGGCAGTTTCTCTCTGATGTAGCTCTCATGGTTCGAGCATGACGGAGCGTTAGGTTTGTACCGCATGAAGCAAACGCAGCTGCAAGCTTCAGCTGCTAGAAGGTGGTCGGGCATGATGTGTTGTATGCGGCTGGGAAGCTGGGAAGGAAGAGTGGCGAGATTTTTGTTGACACATGTGGGAGAAAAGAGCGAAGAGAGCAGTGGGTAGTAAACCCAGTTTTACTTGGACTTTTGCTGTTGCATTTGGTGGTGAAAAAGCATGGGCTCAACGCAAGAGAGAGAACTATTGGTGAGATGGATCAGCATCTGCAATGCAGTACTTTGGGATTGAGCTTGTTGTAAGTGGAGCCACCTGGGCAAGACATCGAACCCGCTCGCTTAGATCAGGAGGTCGTCCGCAGTGCAGCCGAAGCCCAAAAAAGAGGCAGCTAGTGGCAGCGAGTGAATTCACGCATGACACCCGTGGAGTGCGCAGATTCATGATGATTCGCATCCCCGTTCGCGTCAGCATCCGCGTGAACGATGACGTGGTCGCATTACTTATGCAGATGGCATTGCTTTTGGCTCATCTGCAGCAAGGATATCCATATAATCCATATATCTTCCAGCTCCCCCCGCCCTGCTGCCACGACCGTCTTTTGAAACGAAAGCACCGCTTTAGTTCGTTCCTCACAGGGCCAGTTGCCACCCTGCACCAGAAGAAGTCGGTGCGACAATCGGGAGAGCAGAGATGCATTAGGAAACGGGAAATGCAAGTGGTCGGTGGCGGGTTGGCAAATTTGGGCAAACGAGTTGTTGAAACGAGCTTTCATTTTCACCACTTCGTGCAGCTTCGCAACACGCAGGGTCGTGGATCGGGCTTTCGCATGTCTAGCGAGTCTAGCGAAGAGCAACCCGCAGCACAACCTGCCATAATCAGGCAGTTCGTTTTTGAGTCTTTTGTTTTGCTCTCCTGCCGAAGATTTGTAAGAGTCTTTATCACAGGCACTTGCGAACCCGATTCGTAAGAGCCTTCGAAAATATTTTTGATGCAGGTCTGAATGAGTGGGCGGGGTGTCTTGTTTTTGTTTGTTGAGCAAGGCCAAGAAAGAAACCTAGCCAAAGTCACCTACTTATAGGACACGCCTGCGCCCCACCCAGCCAAGGATTCATGGCCCAATCAAGGAGCCGCCCAAGTACGATGCGGGAGGTGTGCTGGTCAGGGATCGCAGTTTCGCTGGTGCTGATTATGCTTGGCACCAAGTCACACAGACTTTCACAAAGAAGCTGTGGAGGGCTGCCGCGGTGTTCCTGGCATTAGTGGTCAACGGCGACGCACGAGGGTGTGCCTGCACCAAACTCTGAGGTGGAGAAGCTTGCCAAGAAACGCGTGGATGGGTACAAGTATCTCGGCCAAGAGCTGGGGCATGATCGAGACGCTTCACTTCGAAACCCCACACGCTTCACACGCATCTTTCGAAGTCACACCAACCTGTTGGACTCGAACTCTCCTCCTCCTCCTCCTCCTCCTCCTTCTCTTCGGCCTGCCTCCACTCAGATCCAAGAGCCCTTCAGCACCACACTTCCTGCAGCCTTGATATCTGCCGTCCTCTCTTATACACTAATTCTTAATGCCAGCCAGGTGGCGCAAAAAGAATCAGCAAGTGAAAGCCTCAGAAGTTCAACAGATTTGTAAGTCCTGCTGAAATATTCCGAGCAACACCTGCAGGCCGGCTTGTGTGGAGGATCTTATTACAGACGAGAGGCTATACTGGATGCGCTTTCAGATGAGCGTGTTGCGGAGATTGATTGGAAGCTTGCCAACTGCTACAGTAGTCCTCTTGACCATAGGATTTTGATGCATTGTGAAGCTCAGCCAATTGTTTCGTCGCCCCCCCTTCAACCTGGTCACGCAGCCGAGGAACTATTTGGGAGAGAAATTTTCGAAAGAGATATACTCGTCAGACTTTGCTCTCCAGTACGCGTTGGCAGCTCGAGGATGGACCATCATGCCATGGGAGGAAGCTGCACAGATGCACAACGACAAGGAGTTTGCGCCGAGGGTTTCAGGGCTTGCGTGGCCGAATGTCGTCGCGAAGATAGATGATAGACCTGTATGGGTTTCTGTGTGTTCTTTCCCGGTGGCAAGCCAGCCAGGACATCCCACTTGCGGGCCCCAAAGATGCTGCATTCCGGCACTACTCGGGACCAGTGGGCAAGCCCACCTATGAGTTGAAAATGAGGTGGGCTTCCCCCACTTTGGCCTTTGCAACACCTTTCGGGAATCTCTGAGCCCAGGAAAGAGGACCAGCATCTTGTGAAGGAGCAACCGGTCTGGGCCAAAGATTCTGACTCGACTGTTGCATTCCCTCAACCACGCCTCCCCAGGTGCAGTACAGAGGCAGAGACCCCAACTGCCAGTAACTTGGCCTGTGAAGAACCACTGTTGATCGACTCTTTGTTTATTCGAATCTGAAGTCTTTCGCTTGCCGTTACTAGGCGACACTAGCCCTGTCGATGCGCACAAATGGACCCAGATAGTGCAAATTCGACAGCACCTGTTGCTATGGCCCTGACAAAGTATAGAGGCTATGTTACAACTTGGACCGATATGTTGCGCTTTACGGCTCCTCTCGCTGTACGAGCAAGCTGCCGACACTCAGCTGAGAGCAGGGATGTGCTTTATGCTGAAAGTTCAAAGGAGAATAGTCTTGCGGACACATCACCCATGCCCGAGACGAGCCTCGCAAGGTTCAAGTATTCCAAGCTTCTGATGGAGCGATATCATCCAGAATTGAAGACCCGCAAATGCGATCTCATGTATCTCTTCTGATTATGGAGGTAAGTAAGGCCTTGGCCTGTGAGTTTTGTTCAGTACCGTCCGTGTAGCCAGTTGCCTGCTACGAGGACGTTCGTTGCAAGCAGCCGCGATAGTGTCTGATTTGTCATGCTGTCCCTCTCCCTGCTGCGCAGGTGGCTTTGCGAGCCGGGAAAGATCGCGCAGTTTGGGTAGCGAGCGGTGTCCAAAAGCACTTTGCTACCAGTCGATGTTGCCTGCCAGAGTTGAAGCCGACCAGGGCACCCAGCCGAGATTGCGCGCAGGTGGCGACCAGCCTTCATCTCGTGGGGTTGTCAATATACTCGAGGCCAGGTTGCGATCAACATGACGTTGCACAGGCTGCAGGCTGCGAGTTCCGTCTTGCCTCAGGGGATGCTGAAGGAAGGCCAGATCAGAGGATCCGAAATCGAGGATAAGAGCCCAGCCTGCAGCCAGCGGGATATCCAGGTGTTTCAGTGCCGTCTTCTTTCAACCAGTATATCGCGTACATGTTTTTGTATATGCATGCGCAGGTTGGGGCGAGGAATAAACACCATATAAATTGCTTGCATGTGTGCACACACACACATACCACACAATCAGCTGCACACACAGAGACAGACGACAGCTTTCTGAATCTCGGGCGGGTCGGTCGCCTTCACCTCGGGCTTCACGAAGACCAAGACCTCCTTCTCAGAGGTGGAAGGCTTGCCGTGCTTTCCGTCTCCGACTCCCTGAAAGTCGTAGCTCAGCACAGACCCAATCTTTCAAGCCAAGCGTTCCCACTGTCTTTCTCGGCGTGTCCGAAGTGATGGTGTCCTTGAAAATGACGCGCGACTTCTTTTTGATATTTTTTGTCTTCTTCGGCAGGTCACTCAAGTGGTTCAAGACGATCGTGTCGTTCAGCATCTTCACGGTGTAGTTCTTCGCCACCTGAACCGTGACCGTCTTCTCACCACCGATGCGCACGTTGAGCGTGATTAGCGTCTTACGCTTGTCCTTTGCCTCCTGCTTCTTTGCCTCTTGGGGATTCCTTATTTTTCTGCTCCTGTAGCTTTTTCTTCTCTGCCTTCAAGAAGCCATCAACCTCTGCCTTGGCACTCTTCATCGTCTTGACGCTTCGCCTCGTTCATCACCTTCTCGTAGTCCACCTTGGTGCATGCCTTCTCCAGCATCTCAGTCAGCTCAGGGTCTGCCACCTCCTCTCCCACAAGCACCATCACCTCGGGGTTCGAAACACTCACGGACTGACCTGACGAACATCTCGGCTTGTCTTTGCCGTGCTTGTCACTTTTTCTTGTCGTGACTTCCTGTCATCATCGTGGTCATCGCCATCATCAGATGTATCGCCGTTGCTTTGATCGCTGCCTGACGACTCTTCCTCATCCTCAAACGAAGAGGATTGTTGTTCCTCATGCACTCCTGTGAGCATCACGTCGAGCTGTAGGCTCTCATTGAACTCAATGTTGTAGCTTTGGAGGTAGCTGATGAGCGTCTGGTTAGGTTTCATGCGTTTGCAATGCTTGTTCTCGGAAACCGCACGCACGCAAGAGTCAAACTCATCAGTAATGTAACTGATCGTATCAGCGGTCGTGTCGGGCTCAACCCCAATCTGAACCGCTGGGATTTCGGTAGACTCGCTAGGAAGGTAACTCTGCACTGTCACCCTCATTGTGAGAACGAGAGGCGGGAGGCAAAGTCACAGCAACCACTGCTGGATATTGAGCAGTAAAGCGTCAGATGCTGTTTATTTGCTTCCCAAACTTTTGCACAACAACAAGACTGACAGCATTAAGCGTGCAAGGCATACCATCTTCTGAGTGAAGACGTTGTCGTTGTCGTTGATGCTCTTGGCTGAACTCAAGGAACCACCCGTAAGCAACAATAACATGACTAAATTGACGAGTATAACATTATCGAAGTGCACTAGCTGTAGCTGTGGTCGTATGAATAAACAAAAATGCGTCAACATACCCAAGATTACGTTGCCAAAATGCCGTCAGGCTCAAACTACCCAACAAGTTGAATTGCTTGAAAGCAGATTTGGAGTGTTTCTTCTATGTTCGGATCGCCCAGTCCTCCCTATGGATGCCAGGGCCAATGAATCAAGTTCTGGACATTTTGAGGTGGCATGGCAAGGTCGAGGCCCCAAATCGGCGACTGTCACGTGGATTCTGCTTGCGCCTAGCCTTCCCCATGGGTGGATGGGGAGGTGCCGGCGTCGGAAGCCCACTGGCACGGCCATGCGGTTACATACGCACACGCATAAGTATATGTATTCACACATGCATCTATTTCTATATCTGGGTATGTGCGCATGCACGGTGGGAGTGGGTTTTCGGTTCTCATATAGTTCCAGACTTAAATGCGTCCCCAATATGCGCAGAGGCCGAACAGTGAGGACGAAGAAGAGGACAGATCTTTGGCAGGCACGACTCCGCCCCTGTGCTTGGGGAATGTTTACCGTGCCAGGCACGTGTCACTGTGGAACCGACACACATGCTTCTTCTTCTGCCAGTCTGCTGGGAAGGTGGTGATGAGGGTGGATATGGGCCCAACTGGCGCAAAGTCAGACGTGCAGTTGAGGTTGCGTGGGTCTTGGATGCCCTGTCCAGCATGCGCACCCAGGCTCTCCACACTTGATAGTAGGCACCAGCAGCAGAGATTTGACCTAGGCATCGGCTTTCAATGGGCTGCTGCAAGACGCACCGCCCCTGCACATGAAGTGCGGCGCAGTGTCCGGTGGTTCATCACTTCGAGCGGCATGAGGTTCGGGATAACCAAGCCGGCAGCCTGTACGATCGCGACTGGAATCGGCCAGGGCAGCTTGGCAACGATTTTGCTTGCTCCAGTTACCGTGACTCTGCGAGTCTTCGAACCCGCTCCGCAGGTTCGGAGGCAGCACAAAGCTCATGGGCCCCAGGCATCGGAAAGCACTCCAGAGGCTCAGGAGCGTTTGAGCGCCCTGCCAGGATGCCAACGCAATTCTTGGGTTCTCCACTGACTGGCTCGCAGCGTCTCGGTCGAGCAGCTCGGCTTGACTCTCCCCCGAGGAATGGCGCAAAGTCCCAGAAGCTGACCATGGTTTCCAAGTCCAAGTCGCAGAAAGCGCCATCATCATCCGCAGCCCCGTCTGCGACCACACCTCGTTGGATACAGGTTTCATCGCCGCAGAGCTCAGTGTCATTGTCAGAACGATTGGACTCCCCACCAGCATCAAGGCCGGCTTCCAAAACACTCTCAGGCAGAGCTGATTCCACAGCGCTCGCAGACAGTCCGGAGACTTCAAACCCTCGGAGCAAACAGCCTTCGACGACCTTCTCCAATCTGGTCGGATCAAAGAGCAGGGGATCCAAGACGCCGCCGGACTTTCACGATCTGGCAGACGACGACGATGATGCTATACAGTTCTCAGCAGAGGCCGAGTCTCGGCAGCCGTCCTTGGCTTTGTCGGTCAGGGCACGGGAAGGCTCTATGGTGTTGGCCAAGACTCCGTCCATGGCTTTGTCCGTCAGAGATGGCTCTATGGCCCTCTCTGAGAAGGTAGACGATGAGCCGGGCATCAGGACTGATCCAAGATTCAGATAGGTCTCTGCGATTCTTTCAAGATGTTCTCTTTGTTAGCAGGACGAAAGCACAAGCCTCAGGCATCCGGTGGCAGGAGCACCATTCTTCTACGCAGGTTTGTTGATTAGAAGTGCCCGGCAGAGAGATATCTGCTTGAGTTGACCTGCGGACCTGACGATCGGCTCTCAGCTTATTTTCAAGAGACAATAGCTTCAATAGCCGTTGACCTTCAAGTGGCCTTCAAAGTGAGCATGTGCAAGAAGAGAGCAGGAAACATCACCCAGCATGAGCAGAATGAATCGCACTTGTCACTAGTGTGCGTGCAGCACCTCGAAGGCCAGCGGACATCACACATCGCAATGGACAGCAAGGGCTACAGCAGCCATGCCACAGATTGCGTGCCTTCAGCACCCAATCTTCATTCTGCTGTAGCAGGTGGAGATGTTGGATTGGTGCTTGCCTAAGTGAAACGGGTGAAGAGACATAGACAGACGGACAGAAACACACCTCAATGTGGAAGCTTTTCAGCGGCAGTGGCCCCTGCCAGCCTGTACTTGGGAAGACCCGGAAGAGAAATGCAATCTGCTAGGTGAAGCAGCTCCTGAGCGGTGGTGCCAATGTCAACGAGGACAATTGCTGATTGATTGTTCAGAACTTGCATACTCGAGCAAAGGGAGAACAGCACTGCAAGCCATGGCATGTTGGCTGATCCATGCTACCAAGGAGTGTGGAGAGGCGGGGGAGACGCCACTTTACATGGCCGCCGGCCTTGACGATCCGCAGATAGCCCAGGTGCTCCGGGCTGCTGTCTACTTTTTGGATCGCAGATTCGTAGCTCCGTGGCCGCGGCAGGTGCTGCTTGCTGCTGAGGCCACTGCAAGCCTGTGCTGCGTGGGGGCTTGGCCAGAAACTGCAAGAAGAAAGACACGTTTTCCTCTCAGGCTGATGTAAACTGGTCCGGCTCGGACTTCAGCTTCACGGCCTTGCACCAGGCATGCGCCAGCCTTGCGCCAGCCATGCCGGTGACGGCAACACGCGTGGAAATTTTGCTGTTCGCGGACTTAGCGAGACGGAGAGCCAGGCTTAGAACAATAAGCGCTATAGTATTACAGAGAACCTCCAATGTCTCTTTCGCTGTGAAGACACGAAGGTTCTGAGGGGCGCTTACATTAAAGCGCGCGTCCGGCTCACGGACTCATACCCTAGGGAAGGAAGGAAGGTTAGACGACCGGTTTGGGCTACTCTTGACTCATGCCGTGGTAGCGAGGGGGGGGGGGTAAGACATAAAGGATCTGCTCGAGACAACCCTTCTGAAGCCGAGTTCCATCCCTACGGGGGAACGAACATCGCCCACGTGTAAACCACATTGATATTTCTAAGCGCTGTATCAGACATGTGTGTGCAACGTTGAGCTTTCACGGGCGGGCTGGGCAACAGGTGCAACTAAAGCAACAGCAACAGCAAGCACAAGCAGAAGCGCCGCCCTATTGAAGCTTGCAGGCTTCTGTCGCTCTTTGCTTTGCAGGCAGTTTGTCTGAACAACTGCAAGATGGTTCAGGCGCAGTCTGCCCATTACTGAGAGTGGGAAGCTCCAGCTTGCCTATGCAGGTCCTTTTGAATGGAGGCGCTGACCGGGATGAAACAGACGAAAGTGGTTCCACTCCATTAAGCCTGGTGCCCTGCCATGGGTTCACGAGTCAAAGCGTTTGTGTATCGAGATGCTCTTGCCTAGCAAACAGTCCAGGCTTTCTGCTCACTGGAGCTTGCAAGTGCTGTGTGCAAGGCCTGGCACGCTCCGTTCAGCTGAGGCCCGGCAAGGCAAAGCAGCAAAGCATCTGAGTCGAAGCGAAGCTGTGACAGGTTGGAGGCCGAGCTGGCCGAGGCCAGAAGGGAGGGGATCTGACTCTCAAGCGCCTCCGCCCCGCCGCCCCGCCGCCCCGCCCCAGCTCCACCAGGCGGCCGAGAACTGCGCACATGTTTGCATACGCGAGATGGAGCGGCAGGCTCTGTTGGCCTTTGTTTCACTTCAACACAGAATGACCATGAATGACCTTGTGCTGAAGGCTGTTCTTCAGGACCTGGAGCAGAACAGCAAAATTCGCGATCTCCTGTCCTAGGGCCCTAGGGCTTCGGGCATGCCTCCTGCCCAAGTTTCATAGATGGCAGAGCCCGATGTACATAAATTTCGTAGGCTGCAAGGGCCCACGCAGCAATACGAGCCGACGCAATCAATGTTTTCCTCGCTGAACTTGGCGATTCGCATTGATTTGCATTCGGAATCGCTTCAGGCAGTGGGACTCACAAAAGTCATAGACTCTGTTATAGTTAGACTTGCCAGTCGTTCGAGCACAAGCACGCGATGGTGCCCACTCTTTCATGGAGGAAGCACCCAGTAGCTGAGGTGGTGGAGAAGCACACGCACTCGCACACCACCTCTCACACGCATTCTCACACGCAACTGGGTTCTGACACCGGAAGATCTGGAGAGAATCGAGTTTTCCAGTGTGAATTTGTCAGGCTGTCGGCATTTTCAATTGCCATGCTCCCTGTTTGGCAGCTCAGGCACACGCACTCTCATACCAAAGAAACCAGGATCAAGACGAAGCTCGGCTTGTACTTATGCTGACAATTGGCACACAATTCAGGAAATTTGTGGTCATGACGAGCTTCGCTGTCGCACCAGAGCGATGAGTTGTGCAGGAGTTCGAAGAAGCTGGCTGGGCCAGGTGCGACCGCATATTTGGGGGACCACGAGACAACCCAGATCGAGGAGATCTACTACGAAGAGGATATCTCCACGCTTGTAAGAGATGCCCTCAGAAGAACTCTAACCCCGTCTTCTTTGTGAGTGCCGGCATTAGGTGCTGCAGTCCTCCTGAAATGTCGATCTCGCAGGAAGAAGGCGAAGGTCCTCCTCCTGCAGCATTCACAGCTCCATTGTCGGCCATGACCTCGAGGCAGGTGTTCACGTGAAAGTTCTTCTTATTGACGTGAAGCCGCTTGGGTTCATCATCGATCAGAGTCATTTCAGGAAATCCATTAAGAACAATGTGGAAGAGGGAGCAACTCGGACGTCGACGGAAGCTGCTGTTGCGCTCAATCCTCAGATGGCCGCTTCGTTTTCATGCTAATCCGAAGTCTTCTGCAGCAACTGGTTGGTTACGGACAGGGTTACAGCCTCTTTGACGAATTCGGGTCTTGGCACTGGCTCCAAGGCCTGACGGAACTTGAGCTTTTCGCACGCGTAGACAGCAACGTAAAAACAAGCTCAAGTCTCGGCACCAGGCTACGCAGCGGGGAGCCGTTGGCAGAATTGTGCAGAGCATTGAAGCAGAGTGGCTGCAGCATCAAGCGGGCAACGTGATTTCTTTGCATGCAGTCTACCCATGGATGGTGCGTTGAGTCAGCTCATGATGTTTTCGTCGCCAAGGCCCACACTCCCAAGAACAAAGGTCACCAGCGCGCAGCTATGCCCTGGGGGGGTGTTGGTGTCGGAATTTCGTCCATTCAAGCTTCCTGGTCGCAGCGATAAAGGCCGGGAATCGTGATGCTTGCTGTTCAGGCTGTTTGGGAACGAGCTGTTGTGGTTGTTTGTTTGCAGCCGCAAGTGTCAAGTTGTTTGCACAAAGCCAGCTGCAGCCGCTTCCGCTCAAGTGAACGTGATTGGAAGGGCTCCTTTTCCGGCCGATCGGCGGCTTCATTGCACAATTTGGACTTGCAAGTCATTTCGAGCCTGGCAGTACCGTCTAGTATGCAGCAGCCTAAGGCACAAGTTCAACCGCGTCTTTGCTGCAGGACCGGTGCAGATTCGTGGATGTACTGGATTCACCGTTTCATAGCCACTCTACGTTGCACAAATCGCACTGCCGGAGTTCAACTCGACTGTGAATCAGGCAGACCGAGTCATGGCCTCTCGTGAACAGCGCGAGCATCTCATGAGTGGTGGCATCCTGGTTGCAACAAAGAACTCTCGGCTAGGTATGGTACCAGTAGTTGTACAGATCGAAAAACGATGGACAGAGAGAAAGAAAGATAGATTCGTTCGCTAATGGGTCGGACAACACTGAACAAGTCAAAGCAATGTGTCCAAGCTTGTCCGAAGTGTATCGAAACCAGCCAAGTCGTCAAGATTTCAACCTTTGCCCAGATGGCAGAGGCAGAGGTTTCGCATTTTGGCCCTAAAGTCAGCTTAAATCAGCCAAGGTGTAACGTCACGCCCACACGTTTGATCTAGAGGCTTTGATGGGTCTGGTTGGAGGTAGTGTTGAACTGGGAAAACCTGTCGGTCTCTGAGTTATCAGGACATAAACCACGAGGAGGAGGCAATCGCGCTCCAGCTTTTGACACAATCATTGCTTTCAACTTAGTTGAAGCATGTTGAAGAGTTCACCTCTTCGTTTTCATTTTCTCAGCCGGCTGAACATGCTGGTTGTTGGAAGCAGACTCGAGCCAAAGCGTCTGTCGACCGTATTTCTCCATACCAATCGAAACAGGAAGTTGTGCTGCGGGAGACTTCTTGCCTCGAACCTTGTCTCGTCTGTCCTCCCAGTTATCCTGTCCTTTCTCTGGGCATGTGCTCAAAGTGCCAAGGTTATGCTTATGGATATGACGGCAGTGGGCCTAGCTTGCTTACCTTAGACAACTGCCAGCGACTGAGCGGCAAGAATCACATGCTTAGGCTCATCCACAGATGTGGATGTGGCGACCTCGCAGATGGACAGTGAAGAAGACGACAGCACGGACGGTGGTTTTGATGAGAAAGCGATGAAAAAATCTCGTTGCTGCCTCAGATTTAATGACCGAAAAATCAGGCGCTGTTGTGGTTGCTGAGCTTTTCAGGTGGATGCCGGCCACCTCTCACCGCTGCTTGTTGTTGCCATTGCTGCTATGTTTGCCAGTTCCTGATGTTCATGGTGATCTTCCCCCTTTGGACCAAGTGGCTTGTGACAAATCCAATGCCAACGCAGTATTGGCATGAGCAGTATCCCAAGTGGCCCTCCATTCAAGCAGTTGGCGGACAAGATCTCGCCGCTGACAGCCTTGTGTCATACCCGATCGAGATGTCGCCCATCCCGACTCAATCAGACAGTTGCAATTTCAGCTGCTCCTCTTGGCGTGGCTACCGAACCAACGAAATGAACTTCCGTGTCAGCCTCACAGTCAACGACTCTGTTCTCTCCCGGGGCTACGTGCACACGATCTACCCCGTTTTGCTGGCGAGTGCGGACTTCAACGACTGGTGGGTGGTGGCAGACAGGCGGTTTGCTTACCCGGCACCATTCTGGCGCGCCAAAACAGACAAGACCGGACACGCGTACACTTACACGACCGACACCTGCATCAGCCCGCCAGCAGGCGACAAGGTCACGCGTGAAGCAAACTCCGGCGTCTATGTCTTGGCGTGTGTGGTCTGGAGCCCCACAAGCTTTGCTGAACTGGAGGCAAAATCTCAGTTGGACGATGCAGACCTCGGCCAGTACTGCTACACGGCAGGCGGTGTGTGCGGCTGGACATGTGACTCCGTGGTCAACTCTGACTTGCTAGAGGGATGCACGGCAGACAGCACCATTAAGATGACATCATCATCCGTGGCTGGACGCGAAATTCCTTCGGCAGAATTCCAAGGCAGTGTGGAGATGAGGGAGTGTTTGCAAGGCAATAAAGCAGGCAAGTGCGAGACTGCAACCGAGAAGTTCAAGCAGTGGAAATGCCACAAGTGCTTGTACGACCCCCGGACAGAGGATGACATGCGAAGGCGTCTGCAGATCATTCCAGGAATTGGTGGTTTACCTGCAGGATTGCCAGGGATGGACGATCCTGATAGCCCACTCCCAGGAGCACGGGGGTGGAATCTTTCGCTCTTTTCGTAGCAGCATGCCCTGACATGCCCTACTCTGGCCCTACCGCCCTAATTCGCACGTCGTTCGTAGGCATGCCGTCCATGCCATTCCGCGGCAGGAATTGGAGGAAGTGATGGTGGACTGCCAGGCGTCATTGGGGGAGACAGCGACTCCTCGACCGCGAAGACACCCACGATCTACACGTCGTTGCCACGTTTCCACATCACCGTCACCGGTGCGACGATCCCCGAAGGCACGGACGTCTTCAGCCAGCCTCGCATCTTTGTCCTGCAATCCTCCAGGGATCAGCGCGGGACCTGGAGGAAGCTCTACAAGAACGACTACGGCATGACACAGCCTCCGATTGTCGTGGGCAAGGACGGCAAGCCTTTGGTCAAGGAGAAAGAGTCGGACTCCTACGATGAGGAACTTGCCCCAGTGCAGGACCCGGTTAGCAAGCATGCCATGTCCCTGAACCAGCAGAACCGCTTGGAGGTCGATCCCGGCTGGTGCTACGGCCGGCAAGGGCCACTCTACCTGGTGGCATGTGCTGTAAACAGCACTCTCTATGAGGGTGGCTTTACGAACTTCAAAGCTGGTCAACAGGCGGCTCCTCCACCTTTCAACGACCGTTGCGTTGCCGTGTCGGGTCGTTGTGCACATGCATGTCAACCAGACCAAACGCCGATGGCAAACTGCACGGCTGTGGCTTGGCTGCAGCTTCATCTCCTTTCGCGGTCGAATCTAGTTTCATCGTTGAGTAAGGCTTTCAAGCGGAGCCTTTACTCCTCACTAATCTGCAGTCAGGATGGTCATATTCTTCAAAGCTCCTTGGTTGGATACGTGGGCTACCAGAAGAACCAGACAGCTCCGGTTTGGCTCTTCTGCTACGTGCTTCTGATCGGCTTCGGAGTGAAGGCAGTCATGCTTTGTCCCGGTGTGTTTTCGCCGTACCCACACTTCCGACGATACGATCCCGATCTCACGTCCCAGCTGCGCTACATCGTCGTTACCATTCCGAGTGCCGGAGAGAACAAGTGCACAGTTTTGCGGAATATCGTGGGTGCCATCGGCTGCATGCCCAAGGATTGCAGGTGCCGCTACCACGTGGCCTTTGTCGACGAGGGTCACAGAGCCGAGCAGAAGCTCATGTTCATGAAGTTGGCCTCCGTCATTGAGAAGATTCCGAACTTTGGAGGTGCTTCTTACGAGGAGAATGTGAGCCGCTTTTTCCAGCAATGGGTGGAGGATACCAAGAAGATGGATCTCAAGAAATTGAAAGACGGCTACGATGGAGAGGTTGATCCTAAGGACATGGACAAGATGGCCGGCAAGAATGCATTGAAAACACTAAAGAAAGAAGGTGGATGGGGCTCGATGCCACCGCATGTCCTTGAGCCACTTTCGGATGCTCTGATCGTCTTGGAGGAGGACCTGAGAAATCTCAAGAAGGAAAAGAAAGACCTTCATCGTGACGACGTGGCAGACTGGGAACCCCAGGATCGCAACAGCTTGGCCCTTCGCCTGCACTACCTGGCACGGGCAAAGCCCATGGAGGACGAGAGGACCATCAAGGCGCAACATGTGGCCCCGGGAACCTGGTACTACAAGGTCCCACAGAACGCAGACAACAAGGACTGGCTGAAGCTGCGTTCCAATGCTCGGCAGATGGTATATGGTTTGGAAGATGATGACCACTTCATGCACAATGTGCCTCTCCGAACCAGTCGTGGCAAGGCAGGTGGTTTGAATTTCTGCGAGAACTACTTGTGCCTCTATGCAGATAAGACAGAGAACATGTACGGTGACTCCCGCGACCTCGCGCCTTGTCTCTACAGCATTTGCGATGCCCGGCACCAGTTCCAAACGGATTTCTTCCACAGCACCATTCCGTACTTCTTCGACGATGAGATGGAGCTCAATCAATATGTGGGTTTCACACAGTGCCCCCAGTATTTCCATGAGATGCAAGACGAGGTTGACTATTTGGATAACAATAACGCACAGTTCTTCCGACTGAACTGCATGATCCGGAATTGCTGCGGTGGTGTCAGCTCTTGTGGAACGAACGGCACATGGATGATCAGGCATCCAGACAAAGACTTGGTTTGGGAGAAGGAGCGTCGGAGGGTGCGGGACGTCGAAAGCAAGCGAAAGATTCAGGAGCTGGTGGAGCGCCGCACCTTCCACGAGAGCTGTAAGGTCGAAGACACTGCAAGTAGTTTGCAGCAAGTGCTCCGAGGCCGCCGGTCCCAGTTCATCAACCGCCGGTTGTCCTATGGCATGGCGAAGAACCCTATCGACTACTTGGCGGCCGTGCAGCGATGGGCCGAGGGAGGAGTGGTCCTGTCGCTGCAGACGTTCTTCAGCTGCCACAAGGGTGTCTACATGGTGTGGTTCACGCTGATCTTCTTCTTCTGCTTCCTCGCCTCGCTGTTCCGCCTCGTCAGCAAGACAGACACCACGTGGGAGATTGTCAAGTGGGGCTTGGTGGATGAAGCCTGGTATCATAATACCATTCAGGAGCCGGTTGTGTCTTGGCTGCGGACAATGGGGAACATTGCCAACAACAACTACTACAAGCGACATCCAGATCTCCTCGACACGTTTGTGACCATGACTCTCCAGTTCACGATCTGGGTTGTCAGCTTGATTTTCTTCCTCGTCCTGGTCTTCCTGTTCACTGAGCTGCTGAAGTTCATCCAACGTCGATGCGGCTTGCAGTTGCCCGTTGTGTGGCCAGATGAGATGCGTTGGTGGGCGCGACTCCTCATCTCGATGGATAACTTGACATATTTCCTGTGGTTCTGGACTGCCTTCTTCTGGCTCCTTAGCTGCACTTGAGCAGCACGCAGTACGAGAGCAGCAGCCGACAGCAAGGTAGCTGGGGACATCTGGGGACTTAAAATCAAACTTTCGAACTGCGGGCTTGCGGCATCAGGCCAGAAAGTTGCGACCTCAAAGCAGCGACCGAGCAGACATGTCGGCTAAGGATTGGTTTCAACTACTACAGCATCTTTGCGAAGCGGACTTATCACTTCTCCTCCACCGGCATGTTCTCGTTTATGCTTACAGTGCAAATACTAAGCTGGGGCATGGTCATTGCCTCGTCGATGCGCTACACTCTCTCAACCAGTATGGAAGCCAACGAGGTGATCGGCTTATCCATGGACAACATCTGGCGCTCAACACAGCTGTTCTACATGACCGCCCCTTTGCTCTTGTACTCCATTATTAAGGGAACGCAGGACTACATCAGGTACCAGCTCTATGGGGAAGACATCAGCTTCTGGGTCGGTGGAGATCGCGGTGTGATGTCTACCAATCTTGTGAAATATTGGACGCTGCTGTTGATCCTCGGCGCGATGGGTGCTTGGATCTACTACATCATCGAGGGGCGCAAGCACACCGGAGTCATGTCGGCTGTGCTCATTGTCTCCCTGATTGCCCTCGATGTTCTGCACCCGTGCACCTACCTGTGGGTGGGACGGACCAAAATGACCAAAGAGAAGGCGGCCAAGCTCACGTGGAGTCAGGCCGTGGTGACCCGAGGATGGTGGGAGCTGATGCTCCAGAGGCTTATCTTGAACCCAACGGTCACTGGCGTCTTCAAGTGGCTGGGACCAGCTTGGTTCGTGCTGATGCCCTTCCTCGTTCTTTTCATGCCATACATTGGCGTTAACCAAGCCTTTATGATGATCGGCTCTACTACCAATCGCTAGACTGATGCTCGGACATCGACTCTTGAGGGGAAGCCTCGATTTGATTCAGCTGGGCAGGGAAAAGACTACATTGTAGTAACACTTGATGCGTCTGAACTGACCACGACAACCCGGCGAGTTGGGTTCTAGCTGATTCTAGCTGCCATGTAGCCATGTCGCCATACTCTGCAACTAACTAGGCTGTGCTCAAGCATCCCTGCCATTCCTTGCCTATTTTAAAGCTTGCTGACACCAATGGTTCACGAGTCCACTGTACGGACACCGCGCGTAAAAGATGCCGGCTTCGTCATTCGTGCTGGGCTTTCGATCGTGCTGCGTGCAAAGCTGTGCAGCTGTGGTGCCAGGTGCACTTAAGCAGTCACCGGCAAGCATGAAGAGAGACTCGGAACCCTGCGTTTGATCCTGTTTGCATTTGGCTCGAGCTAGTTTTTGGCCAGCCAGTCAGGCAAGATTAGTGCCACGCCAGCATGTGAACGGGCTACCGGAAAATTGCAAGGGCTGTAACTAGAAGCCCAAACAATGCGAAGACCCGCAAACTGCATGCTGAGGACATGCAGGCTGTGGGCGCTGACGCTTGTGGCTGCTTGGCTGCCTGCACGTGCATGTGCAGTGCATCATAGTATTAGTTTTTCGTAGCCAAGGTGCTGGGAGTGAAGCCGGGCAAGAACATGTTTTCGATGATTGCAGCACGGAGAACCAGACACTGGTAAGCTTGAAACCTCGCCGTGGCCTGGCTCAGCATCCGAGCAGTTTCGCAAACAGTTGAATGGGCATGCATGTCCCCGAATTGTGCAACAATCTTTGCTGAGGTTCTTGTGCCCCTGCGTTCACTGCGGCATGCTGCTGTCATTGCTGCTATGTGTGCCAGTTCCTCATCTTTCTCGTGGTGTTCCCGCTGTGGACGAAGTGGCTGGTGACGAACCCGATGCCGACGCAGTACTGGCACGAGGCCTACCCGAAGTGGCCAGCCATTGCTGCAGTCCACGGCCAGGACCTCGCAGCGGAACATAGCGATGGAACCCACCAGCAACATGCAATCCAGATGTCCCCGCTGCCAACAGATGCAGACAGTTGCAACTACTCCTGTTCATCCTGGCGTGGATACAGGACTAACGAAATGAACTTCAGAGTCAGCCTTACTCTCAACCACTCCGCGCTCTCGAAGGGATACGTCCACACAGTCTACCCTGTATTGCTAGCCTCGGCAGACTTCAATGATTGGTGGGTCGTTGCGGACAGACGCCACGCTTGGCCATCTCCGTTTTGGCGCGCATGGACCGACACGGCTGGCCACGCGTATGTGCATGATACAGACTCCTGCATTCGACCTCCAGTAGGTGATTTCGTGGACGTGGCTCCGGCAAACTCTGGCTTGTACGTGCTGGCGTGTGCTGTATGGAGCCCTGACAGTTTTGCCGAGCTAGAGAAGCTCCATGAACTTGATGATGCCGCAGTCGGAACACACTGCTATGCCGCCGGTGGTGTTTGTGGTTGGACCTGTGATTCCGTGTTAAATTCCAACTTGATGCAGGGTTGCACCGAAACTGGCACCATTCAAATGACTTCCTCATCTGTGGCTGGCCGGGAGATCCCAACAGCGAACTTCAACGGAGCCGTCGAGATGAAGCAGTGTATTGAAGGAAGACTGCCTGGGGATTGCGAGACGACAACGGAAAACTTCCAAAACTGGCAATGCCATGAATGCATGTATGACCCCAGAACCGAGGAGGACTATCGACGGTTGCAGTTCATTCCAGGCATTGGTGGGTTGCCCCCAGGCCTAGCTGATCCGGAAGGCTCACTCCCAGGATTTGGCACAGAAAGCACGAGTGGAACAAGTGGCACCTCGATAGGGGGTGATCCAGACAGCAGCAGTACGGCAAAGACACCAGTTGTGTACACTTCGCTTCCGCGATTCCGGATTACGGTGAGCGGCATGACCATCCCAGAGGGCACAGATGTCTTTAGCCAACCGCGTGTTTTCGTGCTGCAGTCGTCACGTGAGCGAGGGAAGTGGCAAAAGCTTTACAAAAGTGACTACACCCAAACAGACCCTCCGGTGCCAGTGGGTCCGAATGGAAAGCCGTTGATCAAACAACGAGACAATGAGTACGACGAAGAGCTCCTGCCCGTCAAGGATCCCGTGAGCAAGCATGCGATGAAGTTGAACCAACTAAACCGAATGGAAATCGATCCCGGTTGGTGCTATGGTCGGCAGGGGCCACTGTATCTGGTGGCCTGTGCTGTCAATAGCAGTTTGTATGAGGACGGCTTTGATCGCTTCAAGCCTGGCCAGCAAGCAGCCCCCCCTCCGTTCAATGATCGCTGCGTCGCTGTGTCAGGTCGCTGCGCACATGCTTGCCAGTCAGGCCAAGGAGCCCTGGCAAACTGCAGCAGTGATGGATACATCAAGGAGTCGGCACTCATCGGATTCGTTGGGTATGAGAAGAACCAAACCGCTCCTGTCTGGCTTTTCTGCTACGTGCTCCTGATCGGCTTCGGTGTAAAGGCAGTCATGCTTTGCCCAGGTGTCTTCTCCCCGTACCCGCACTTTCGCCGGTATGATCCAGAACTGACTGCCCAGTTGCGGTACATAGTTGTGACGGTGCCAAGTGCTGGAGAGAACAAGTGCACAGTTTTGCGGAATATCGTGGGTGCCATCGGCTGCATGCCCAAGGATTGCAGGTGCCGCTACCACGTGGCCTTTGTCGACGAGGGACACAGAGCAGAGCAGAAAGTTATGTTCATGAAGCTTGCTGCTGTCATTGAGAGGCTTCCGAATTTCGGAGGTGAAAGCTACGAGGAGAATGTGAGCCGCTTCTTCCAACAATGGGTGGAAGACACCAAAAAGATGGACTTGGCCAAAGTGAAGGATGGGTATCCCGGTGAGGTCGAGCCCGAGATTCTCTCGCGCATGAGTGGCAAGAATGCGCTGCGAAAGCTGCGGAAAGAAGGTGGCTGGAGTTCAATGCCGTCCCAGGTATTCGAGTCCCTCGACGTTGCCCTACATGCTTTGGAGGAGGATCTCAAGAATATGAAAAAAGAAAAGAAAGACCTTCATTTGGATGACGTGGCAGACTGGGAGCCCCAGGATCGCAACAGCTTGGCCCTTCGCCTGCACTACCTGGCACGGGCAAAGCCCATGGAGGACGAGCGGACCATCAAGGCGCAACATGTGGCCCCGGGAACCTGGTACTACAAGGTCCCTCAGAATGCCGAAAACAAAGACTGGCTGAAGCTGCGTGCAAAGGCTAGGGAGATGGTATATGGTATGGAAGATGACGATCCCTTCATGAACAATGTGCCTCTCCGGACCAGTCGCGGCAAGGCAGGTGGTCTAAACTTCTCGGAGAACTACTTGTGCCTCTATGCGGACAAGACCGAAAACATGTACGGCGATGAAAGAGACAACTTTCCATGTCTGTATAGCATTTGCGATGCCCGGCACCAGTTCCAAACGGATTTCTTCCACAGCACTATCCCATACTTCTTTGATGATGACATGGAACTCAATCCATATGTTGGCTTCACTCAGTGCCCTCAGTTCTTCCACGAGATGCAGGACAAACTCGACTACCTAGACAACAACAATGCACAGTTCTTTCGACTGAACTGCATGATCCGGAATTGCTGCGGTGGTGTCAGCTCTTGTGGAACGAACGGCACATGGATGATCAAGCATCCGCAGGGTGACCTGGTTTGGGAGAAAGAGCGTCGGAGGGTGCGGGATGTCGAGAGCAAGCGCAAGAGCCAGGAGTACGTGGAGCGCCGCACCTTCCACGAGAGCTGTAAGGTCGAAGACACGGCAAGTAGTTTGCAGCAAGTGCTGCGAGGCCGCCGGTCCCAGTTCATCAACCGCCGGTTGTCCTATGGCATGGCGAAGAACCCCATCGACTACTTGGCGGCCGTGCAGCGATGGGCTGAGGGAGGAGTGGTCCTGTCGCTGCAGACGTTCTTCAGCTGCCACAAGGGTGTCTACATGGTGTGGTTCACGCTGATTTTCTTCTTCTGCTTCCTCGCTTCGCTGTTCCGCCTCGTCAGCAAGACAGACACCACGTGGGAGATTGTCAAGTGGGGCTTGGTGGATGAAGCCTGGTACCAGCAGACCATGCAGCCGGCTGTGTCTTGGCTGAGGAGCTGCGAACTCATTGCTCGCAGTGCCTACTTCAATGAGCATCCAGAGCTTTTTGAGACGTACCTGACCATGACGCTTCAGTTCATCGTTTGGGTGGTCAGCCTGGTCTTGTTCATGTTCCTGGTCTTTGTGCTGACGGAAATGTTGAAATTCATCCAGCGAGTGTGCGGGCTGAAGCTGCCAATCATGTGGCCAGACGAGATGAGGTGGTGGGGGCGGTTGCTGATTTCGATGGACAACCTCACATACTTCATCTGGTTCTGGTGCGCTTTCTTCTGGAGCTTCAGCTGATCTTCAGAAAAAACGCACAGGTTCACCGTTGGGATATCGATTGATGGTTTGTTATGGGTGTGTCGCCCCGGGAGAAGTAGTTGGTTGGTGTCTGCTCCGTGCGCTTGTAATTCGAGGAAAATTGGCTTGACGGCATGTATTACATGTAGTTGCCATGATTAGGCTGCAACTTGCTGATGCTTGCCATGCTTCGAGGATTGGATTCAACTACTACAGCATCTTTGCGAAGCGGAATTATCACTTCTCCTCCACCGGCATGTTCTCATTTATGCTTACAGTGCAAATTCTGAGCTGGGGCATGGTCATTGCCTCGGCCATGCGCTACACTCTCTCAACCAGTATGGAGGCCAACGAGGTGATAGGCTTATCCATGGACAACATCTGGCGCTCAACACAGCTGTTCTATATGTCAGCGCCTTTGCTCTTGTACTCCATCATCAAGGGAACGCAGGACTACATGAGGTACCAGCTCTATGGGGAAGACATCAGTTTCTGGTTGGGCGGAGATCGCGGAGTAACATCGACAAACCTGGTCAAGTATTGGACGCTGCTGTTGATCCTTGGTGCTGTGAGTGTTTGGATCTACTATGCCATTGAGGGAAGAAAGCATACTGGAGTGCTGTCGGCTGTCATCATCGTCACTCTGATCGCTTTGGATGTGCTCCACCCATGCACCTATCTATGGGTTGGGCGAACTAAGATGACACCAGAAAAGTCTGCCAAGCTGAAGTGGGGCGAGGCGTTGGTGACTCGTGGCTGGTGGGAGCTGATGATAGGCAGGCTGATCCTGAACGAGACGGTTACGGGAATCATGAAATGGTTGGGCCCGGCTTGGTTTGTATGCATGCCCCTTTTGACACTGGTGATGCCGTACATTGGCGTTAACCAGGCATTCATGATGATTGGAGCGACCAATCGATAAAAGCTGGGCGAAGCACTTGAAGCGCTTGACTTCGCGTGCACAAGTTCCAAGATTTTGTGGCCTATGGTGCAAAAGTCGCCTAGAAAGGCCAACGTTTAACTTGGGGCACATTCGCCATGCGCATGTGTCGCCTGCCTGTTTTGGACAGCGTTGTAAACCAATGCTGAACCGGGTCAGGATCCTTCTGAGCTTTTTTCCGACCCAGCTCGAAGAAGTGGCCCTGCCTGAACTGCACCTTATGTGAGCGAGCATTGGGAAAAGTCCAAAAAGCATCTGCGAGTGAGAGAGAGGGCCGAGCATACTATACCCCACCGAGGGTGTAGATGTTCATGCCAGTGATGCATCGCAATGACCTTGCGTGAGCCTGAAGCGAGCTTGTTGCACAGGCTGGGCTCGCCTGGACGTTTGAAGATGTGAAGTGGTGCTCAGAGATTTTGAAGGACGGGTATATGCAAGCCCATTGCACTTTTAACAGTAGAGGCACGAGCACCAGGTCAGACATGTTGTGGCCAAACGAGTTGATGAGCATCAAAGATGCCTCCAATTGTCCCAGCTTTCGTGGCTTTTAACAGGCCTTCCCGAGCGCTTGCGTTGCTTCTTCACCGTCTACTCAGATCTACCGGATCCAGATAATACTGAAGTAGCCAGTCTTCAATTGACCGAACCTTCTGTAGTGTAAAGGGAATGCCTGGGCTTGTTCCAACGGCGTTGCACACCTTTGCTCCCGTTGCTTTTCTTGCAAGGGGACCTCTTTGCACGAAGATGGGGCTTTGCGCATTACATAGGAATGCCACGCCTGTTTCTCGAAGCTCTGTCCCGTGCACTCGGATCACTCGGGCAGTGGAAGTCGGCTCCAAGCTTCCGGAGTGCCTGCCACCTGTGCAGGCAGCCAAGGAAAAATGAGCTGCACATTGACCCGGCACATTGCATTGCCCGGACACATGGCGCGTAATCTGACGTAATTTAGATGAGTGGAGGGTTTTGGGCTTGAAGCTGTCGCTACTCTGCTAGAGCGAGCGAAGCCTGACAGTGCGATGTGCAGATGTAAAACACAGTGCACGCCCAATGGGCGAAAGCACTGATCGCGGAATTGGCCAATTGTGAGCAGTGTGACAACAAGTGCGACCACCCTAGCTTGTCGCTCGTGGTACCCATGTTCATTTGCAATACAGCCCAAAGTCTGGATGTCACGTTGGCCTAAACCCGCTGCAAAACATTGCAGCTGAAGCTACGTTTGACGACCGCAAGCATCCCAAAGTTGAAGCTTGAAGAGCTCAGACATCTCGTGCAAAAGCAAAGCCATGTTGCTTGTTTGCCTTCATCAGTTGCTCCGTACACGATCAAGTGCATGACTTCCTGCCCCGCTCGATCGAGGTGCAACGGTCTGTGCTTGTCTGGACCTGGCTCAACCGCTAGACCGCTGCATGTCAATGCGCTGATGTCCTCAGTAGTGTTAGCTTTGCCCAGTACTCTCATTATTGTGAGTATTGAGCATCGAGCAGATACACGGGATTTTGGCTGGGTTGTGCATTGCTTTACCTGTTACCTTTTGGTTCTCGTGCACTCGGCGAATTTGGTGCCCCTCAGCCTATGTTTACGTCTATGCGTGCCCCTTGTCCATGGCGTGGTTTTCCTGGGCCGGATCTTGGACTGAGCCGGTGGCCTAGCATGGCATCGAAAAGAGTGGGAGGAGCATTCACGCGGGAAACTGCAAAGGTGATTGCCCCAAGAGTTTGATTCTGAAAGTTGGTTTGCTTGCGAGCTCCTGACGGGCAAGCTCCAGTTGCCGGGGCAGCTTGTGTGAGCCCAGTGAAGTGGCTGAAGGGTCAGCTCAGCACTTTTGGTTCGCGTGGGCGAGGGCTCATCTGAAAATGTAAGCTTATTCCTTGTTCGAGCGTTGCCGTCTCGTGCCGAAAGTAAGGATGAACCCTGAAATCATACCACCACTGAGATACTCGAGTCCAATTATTTCGGGCCGCGATTTGGGCCACAAACAGGTTGGAGTCTGGAACCTAACCCATCTGTATCGGGACCGGGAAAAACCAAAGCTTGTCACACGAAAGGTTGGTTAATATCGATAGACTTGAGTGTGTACGATTTATAGGACTTGGCCGGAGCGACTGAGGAGGGGGCGGATCAGGGTAAGGTGCTGCGCACCAATTCCAGCTCGTCAGACAGATCCGACATGCAAGACTGGTTAACGGCGGTGTCTGATCGTTAGCGAGCATGTTGAGGCTGCTTAAGAGGCATCAGTGGGCAAGGCGTGGTGAGTTTGGAAAGTGTAGCATTCCACTTGAGGCCTGACGGTGACTCGTCGGAGGCATGCATAAGTACTTTGGTGCCTAAAGCCGTCGCGAACAACTTTGCGCACTTGTTGGGCAGGCCTTCAAGCTGGGTGAGGTTGTGGAGTACTACAGCGCATCTCAGGGTTCGTGGATCCCCGCCAAGGCTGTGCATCAAGATGCGAGAGGCGTCAGCGGGTACTCATCAGAACAGCTGGAGTCATCTGTCCAGGTCGTGGCCGTGAATGCAAAGGGGACCTATGATCTGGACTGTCGCCTGGCCTCAACCCACGTAGTGTGCAAAGACTTCGAGGCTAGCTGCCAGTAGGCTCTCATCCGAGGCAAGCCTGGCGTACCCAGACAGAAGATACGATCCTATGCGACGGCGAGAGAGAGCAGTCTACCTGCATCAGCTTGACCAGCTCCTGTAATGGTAGACTGAATGAGGCTGTTTTGTTCTTGCTTAAAAGGGGCCCGGGGGTTTCGGCCGGGCTGCAGAGGCAGACTTTCAGCTTCCGCGGCTTCGGGAGTCTTGGAGTTCGAGCCTGGAGAGGTCGTGGAGCGTCCTGGCTGCACCTGAAATCACGTGGAGTCAAACCCCGCCGGCGTAAAGATGGCCGGATCAGTTCTGGCGGGTACGCCCCGTTTTCTTTTCATCCCACGTGGCTTGCATAATTAGTCGAAAGACACGAGGCACTCGCAGTAGCCATGCCGGTACGGACCGTGGGACATCCCATCCTCGGGGGTGTGAGGACGCTGCGCTGGACCACTTGTGCATGTTGCTCCATTGAGGTACTTTAGTGCATCGCAGAGCGACTGGATATTGGCAAAAGTTGCTCGGACGCACTGATGTAGATCGGCTTGGTGTGCTGCTTCGGATCTAGACTCGTCTGTCTGGCGCTGCCCATCTGAAGGTCCTGAGCATCAACCCGAACGGTACCTACAACTTGGATTGCAAGCCAGATGTACCACCGGAGACCGGGGTGTAGCTTCCAAGCTCGAGTCTTGTCTTTGCACATGTTGCCGAGCTTACAAAACGGGATTCCGGAGGAGCGCGTCCGGGCCCAGCGTGACAATGAGCTGGTCCGAAGCCCGCTACAAAAACTCCAGAAGCCCACTCGCCTCTTGCTTGCGCCATGAGAGAGACTGAGAGTCCCTAGGCAGGGCAAACATCAACATTGTCTCCAAATGCGCTAGGTACCTTTGAAGAGAGGGCGTGCTCATCAGGTGTAGGTGAGAGCCCGCGCTGTCTGAGGTTTGCGACAGGCGTGCTGACATGAGAGCAAGAGTTGAAGCCGTATGCTCGATAAAGCGGCTGCATTGCCCGCAAGCGTGCGCAGGCCAGCACCATCTTCAATCTTTGCCAGGCCGGTCTTCTGAGCACAGGGCATCACAGCGGTGCGAGCCGTGCGAAAGGTGCAAGCTTTGGAGCCGGTAGAACTCCTGCGAGTGCAGCGGGCCGGCAGTAGGTGCGATGTGCAGCGCCAAAGCCGCGTTTTCCACGTCGTGGCAAGCTGTCGCAGGTGGCAGTACGAGGTGTGCAGCGAGGGAGCCCAGGCCCTGGAAGCTTTCGGAGAAAAACGTCCTGGCCCCAGCTTGCGCTTCAAAGCACTCGCACTTTGTCGGTAATGTCGGAAGTGTGTGACGTGCAGGCATTGCAGTGGTGTCGGTTTGCGGCATGCGCGGCACCGGAAAGAGAGACTCAGCTAGACCGGACGTCGGAGTCGGAGTCTGCAGAGTTTGGAGTGTCGAGGCTACCTTCTGAACGCCCTCCTAGATGGGATGAAGAATGGTCCGAAGTTCAAGGCCGGTCGCGGAGGTTGCTGCATGTGAGGCGGATGCTTGCAGTGCTTGCGGCATGCCAGCTTGGGTCCCCGGGCGACGGCACCGCCGGGCTTTGGCTTTGGAGCTACCAGGATTTCTACGCTTCCTGGTCCATGCTCTCTCTCGGAGTCGAAGACTTCAGGACCCCGAAGAGGAGCATGCCCCGGTGATGGCCTTCCTTGATTGCCGGCTCCTGATTCGAGGCGTGTAGGAGTCTACCCCGAAATACCGCGAGCGAACCGAGGTGAGGGTTTTGGCAACGACTCCGACCGTCCGTGACCCAGCTGCTGCAGCTTCTGCACGAACGACCATTTCGCCGCAGGACCCCGCTTCTGAGTGCTGTGTCAATATTGAGCCACCCATTCCTGCACTGTGGTTGAACAAGAACCGCGACTCAGCCTCGGAAGAAAGGAAAGGAGAAAACGAAGCAGTGAGAAGCCCCCTGACCTCGTTCTCTGTGGGCGAGGAACCGGTACCGGACCACATCAGAGCATCGAAGGGCAGTAAGAACGGCGCCAAGCTGCAGTCTTGGCACCTTTACAGGCCAAACAGGCGCACAGAATCACGTCAAGCTGCATGCCCAAGGACAGGCAAGACACTAGAAGCCAGGATCGTTCCCCCAGCGGAGGTTCCGCTAGGCGAATGGAGCGCCGGCTGAGCATCACACGCCTCGTGCAGTAGCTCCGTGGCTTTGCCCGCCGAGTGTGACTGCATGAATGCATCAATCGGTGGTCCATCAACGTTAGACTGCACTGCTGTCGTGTTAGTGCGCAGTTCTAGATTCTGCATGGCTTTGGTTCTTGCACGTCTCCGTTTCTGCATTTGGCCAGGCACACTATGCCAGTTGCGCATATGCACATTCGCACAACCTTCCGGCAAGCCTTGGCCGTGACGTGAGGTGATGCTCAGATGATGTCCTTGTGCGCGTTGCTGTCCTCCGTCCTTGTCCTGAACACAAAGGGTACGCTGAACGACAGCGCGGCTCGGCTGCAAGGACTCATGGGTCGATCGCGGACCTTCCGATCACAACGGAGGCTCAAACGGCTGCTAATTCTGCTAGGTGTTCAGCTCACTTGCGCAGATTTGCCGTTTTGCCGAGACCTTACTTGGTGATTGTTGGTGTGCTATGACAAGACCAAAAAAAAAGGACCCACTTTCGGTATCCACAGGCTGAGCACATGGAAGAACGCGGTCAGGAGACGGGGAAAGCCTTGGGCCTTGTGCTGTGGTGCTTAGAAGGCTCGTGCTTTCTCTGCTCTGCCCGCATGGACAGGAGGTTAGTCGCCCAGCTCTGCTGTGGGTGCCGAAGCCTTGAACAAAAAGGTCATTTGCGGGCATGTGGCTCTTGATGTCCGTGTCTGAGATTGGGTGGAAAGTAGCCGTTGTCAGCCTAAGGCTGAGGGACTTCGTGCTAGAGCTGCGTGATGCTGCTGGTCATACTATGAGCTCGGATGCTCCTCACCCGCAGAAGCCTGCTGCTCTTGCTGCGTGAAGGTGTTCTTTGTCTGCCGGCAAAGGAATACCTGGAACAAGCTCTGCATGCTGCAGATGCACGTGGGGCTGGCAAAGAGGCCCAGCGGTGCTCTGAAGTCAGGGATACGAGAATGTCTTGTGCAACCGAAGTGCAGCCAGACATGAAGTGTTGTGGTGGTTCCGGGTTCTGTTCTCGAACGATGTATGGTCCATGTAATGGCTGCCGGCACTGCCGCCGACCCCTGCGGAGCAACAGCGCCTCGGAGGAACGACGGAAATTCGCAACTCTGAACCTTTCACCCACCGGTCAAAGCAGTAGATTCAGCTGCCCCCGTGCAAAGAAATATAGGGGCCCTGATAATTACCAGCACTGTTTTGGGCTTTCCACACGAGAATTACAGTATATTCGGGCCCCAAACCCTATTCTAATTCTGTGGGGGGGATGTGTTATCGCAGGTGAATTCTTGAAGCCCTGAGGATAACCGCAAACGATTTATTTTGTAAAGTCCTCCGTACGGCGCTTGCGTGGTGAGGGCGTTTGTTACCGCAGGTGAAGTTCCCGAAGCCCTGAGGAAAACCGTAAATAAACAATTAGTTAAGTCTGTTGCAAAGTCCTCCGTACTGCGCTTGCGCGGTGAGGGCGCTAAGCAGGGCATGTTACCGCAGCTGAAGAAGTCAGGAGCAATGCTTTTCTAAAGTCCTCCGTACTACGCTTGTGCGGTGAGCACGCTAGGGGGGCTGTTTTACTGCAGGCGAAGTTCCCGAAGCCCTGAGGAAAACCATAAACAATTCTGTTGTAAAGTCCTCCGTAATTACTGCGCTTGCGCGGTGAGATACTTGACAAGGGCCGGGAAGCCTGGGCGGTGGGTGCTGAGGGGTCGGGAGCGGCAAAGAGGGGTTGGGCCTGCATTGGGCTTGCACTCAAATTACTCAAATACGTCACATACTTGACAAGGGCCGGGAAGGGCTGGGCGGTGTGGGCGCTCAAGTTACTCGAGTACTTCACATACTTGACGGGCTGGGAGGGCGGTGGGCGCTGAGGTGTCTGGAGGGGCAAGGAGGGGTTAGGCATGCATTGGGCATTGGGCTTGCATTAGATCACTTCAAGGGCCAGGAAGCGCCGGGGGGGTGGGCGCTGGGGGGGGGTCTGGAGGGGCAAAGAGGGGTTGGGCATGCATTGGGGATTACTCAAATTACTCAGAGGCTTCACATACTGCTGCTTGCATTAGATCAGATGACTTCACACGGGCCAGGAAGGGCTGGAAGGCGAGCACCGGGGGGGTCCGGAGAGGTTGGGAATGCATTGGGCTGGGGTGGGTTGTAACTTCACCAGGGCCAGGAGCAGCTGGGGGGTGGGCGCTGGGAGGGTCCGGAGAGCTCGAGCATGCATTGGGCTGGGAGCGGTTAGGCAGGCATTGGGCTGCATTGGATCACTTCACCACTGCCAGGAAGGGTAGGGGGTCCGGAGAGGTTGCGGCAATGGCAGGCGGTCAGCAATGAGGGGTCCAGCGGTAATCGCTGAAGGGAAGGACAAAAGCCGCGAGGCTCTGCGAGGAGATCGTGGAAAGGGCATCGCAGCCCGAAGCGCGCACCAAGCCCTGCTCTGCTCACCAAGACGCCCGATACGCGCACCAAACGGTTCAAGCGGCAACAAGCAATCGCGGTCACAGCTTGTTTTGAGGTGCTCCTGAGTGTAGGCATCCTATCCGCTTGGCGATGTCGTCAGTGTAGGCATCCAGTCCTTTTGGAGATGTCCTGTTGAACGCAAAGCATGCCATGGCTTCGCCGCTGCCAGAACCCAGCGACAAGGCTCAACATGTCTTCCTGTAATGGGGCTGCCTTTTTCTCAAACCTTGCTGGACCAGCCTTTCATTCAGGATTGGTACTTGTACTGGTTCCTGAGGTGTAACAAACTTTCGCAGGAGCTGCGGCAGGCGTCCAAGCGGAGGCGCAGACGTCGTCTGCATGCTCCCTGAGGCGGGCCCTCAGGATTTGGGAGGCGTACAAGGGTCTGCCTACAAGTGCCGATGTCTTCTCAAACCCTTGGCAATTTCAAATCCAAGGCAATTTTCCGCGATTCGGCTACAGCCTTGTTGCCAAGGTTTTCTGGGTTTGTCCTTATCAAAGCCATCAACGCCAGGGCGTGGATGCCACGATCGAGAT